CGTGGAAATCAGGTATGCAGGAGAAATTAGCAAATAATAGAGAAGTGGCTCGGAAACGTTTCGATAGTCTGGTTAGGAGATTTAGAAATGATACAGCTTTTTATGAGGATTATAAAAAGGTAATTGATGATTATCGTAGGGAAGGTATCATTGAGAATTCGTCGTCAGATATTGAAGTGTCATATTCTGAGCAGTCATTCTACTTACCCCACCACGCTGTCATTCGCGAGGACAAATCTACTAGTCGACTTCGAATCGTGTTTGATGGTTCTTCTCATGAAGGAGGACAACTTTCAATTAATGACTGTTTATTTAAAGGACTAAACTTGTATCCAAATCTATTTGAAATGATTTTAAAGTTTCTACAAAATACAATCGCCTTCACAGTGGATATAAAGCAAGCGTATCTACAAATTTTGATCGATCCTAGAGTGATAGAAAATTACTAGATTCTAGATTCTGGACTGATGATATCGGTTCTATTCATATCAAGAAATGAATTTTAGTCGAGTTTTATTTGGACTAAAACCAAGTCCATATTTGTTAGCTGCAACTCTGAAATATCATTTTGATAAATGTAAAGAAGAATTTCCTGATACTTGCAAATTACTGTCAGAATGGTTTTATGTCGACGATTTGATTGGAGGCGAAGAAGACTTGCAAGCGCCTTTGAAAATTACGATTACGACTGAAAGTGTAGAAATTCTCAAAAGAGGTAGCATGATATTACGAAAATGGAAAACCAATTCCATGGAACCTGCGTAAGCTGATGGAAAGATGCTCCGTTCGACATCGATGAGGAAAAGAGCTCAAGTACGGGACTTGACTCACCATCCAAGGTGTTGGGTCTATTTTGGGATCGAGATGCGGACAGTATATCTTTTAACGTGAAAGAATTATTAAAAGTTTGTCAAGAACGGAACTGCTTCGAAAAGGATTTATTCTTCGAGTAGTGGGTCGTATTTATGATCCTATCGGATTTCTTGGGCCTTTCATCATAAAGCTGAAGTGCATTCTACAGGAACTGTGGAGTCATGACATAGACTGGGATGATAAAACTTCCATCGTCACTGGATCACAAGTGGCAGTTTGTGGTGCAGTGAAATCGAACACTTAGAAGATCTCCAGATTCCTCGATGTTGTTATTTTTCAAATTTGAACTGTAAATTTATTTCATTTGAAATTCATTCTTTTTCAGATTCCTCTCTTTTAGCCTATGGAACTGTATTGTATTTAAGAGCTATATCTGAATATGGGAGGATAAGTATCAGTTTTATTTGTTCTAAAAGTCGTGTAGCTCCTCTGAAAGGTCTTACATTACCAAGACTGGAATTAATGGGTGAGCTTTATTGTCCGCAAGATTAGTCCATCAAGTAAGTAAAGTAATGTCTTAAATTTAATACTTCTAGTTATTTTTGGACCGACTCGATGATTACATTATGTGTTGGATTAAGGGACAAGCTAGTAGTAAATACAAAACTTTCGTAAAAAAATAGAATAGAAGAAATTCAATCTTTATCAGATACCAATAATTGGGCTCATTGCCCTGGTAAGGATAAATAACCCTGCAGATATCTCTTGTCCAGAGAATTTCTGCAGCAGATTTAGCTACAAACCATTTTTGGTGGCACGGTCCACGTGGCTAAGCCAATCACCTGAATACTGGCCTACTGAAAGAGAGAACTTAAAATCTACAGACGTAGACTTAGAGCTAAAAAGAGAATTTTGAAAGTACAGTGCAAAATAATGTTTGGTAGAAAATTCGAAATTTATTTTAGATTTAAGGAAATATAGTTGTTTGTTAAAGGTACTAAGAGTAACTGCACTAGTTAAACGGTTTGTTAATAAACTTTCAAAAACGACAAACGATTGCAGGTCCCCTCACAGCAAAAGAACTTCAAAATGCTGAAATAGACTGGATAAAACATGAGCAAAACATTAGAGTTCAAACTTAGAATTACAAAACATTAAAAATGGTAAATCGATTACTAAAAACTCTCTACTTTCGAATTTAGCCCCATTTCTCGACAGTTGCGAGGTGTATTGTTTGCGCATAAAAGGAAGGATTAGAAGCAAGGAGCTTTTACAAAGGATGAAGCTCACCCGTATACTTCTTCCTAAGCAGTCTAAATTTACAGAGTTAATTATTATTCGAGAACATAATAAAATTGTTCATGGTGGAGTTACATTTACGCTAGCCAAAATTTGGTCTAGATTTTGGATTCCACGAGGTAGACAAATTATAAAAAGAGTATTAGGTAACTGCCTAATTTGTCGAAAGTATAAGTTGAAACCAGCTAAAAAAAATAACTAGTCAACTACCTAAATGTAGAATTACTGAAAAACCCTCCTTTTACTGTAACTGGCATAGATTTCACTGGCCCAGTTTTAATAAAATCAGGAAAGGATACGCCTCAAAAGGCTACATAACATTATTTGCATGCAGTGTTACTAGAGCTGTGCACATAGAATTAATCACAAATATGTCAACAAAAAAATTTTTTTTGTCATTAAGGAGATTTTTAGCTAGGAGAGGAAAATTGTAAAGTTATCATTTCCGACAATGCTAAGAGCTTTTAAGCCACTAATGAAATTCTTAAAGAATTTGCAAAAATTATAATAGATTCAAAATTGAAAGATTTCATATCAATAAACGGCATAACCTTGGCAATATATTGCGCCTCACGCGCCTTGGTGGGGTGGGGTTTTTATGAAAGGCTTATGAAAAGTATCAAAGATCCTTTGAGAAAGGTTCTCGGAAGGGCTCTTCTTAACTTTGAGGAATGATGACTATTCTATCAGAAATTGAGTTCGTTTTAAATCATAGACCTCTTACTTATGTCCATAATGAAATAAAAGAGCCAGAAGCTCTTACACCTGCCCATTTCTTGTTTCCAGGGCAAGAAAATATTTCTTATCCTGTACATTTCGCCGACCTTTTCAGGAATGAACCATTGAACAGGCAGACTTTCATTAGGAGAAAACTGTATCAAACTAATCTTTTGAAACAAATTTGGAAAAAGTGGAAGGAGAATTATCTCCTCGAATTACGGTCTGCGCATACTTTTCTAAATCCATCTCCTGAAAGGAATCTTAAAAAGGGTGAGGTTGTAATCCTGGAGGGGTCGACGAAATCAAAAAATTTTTATGGCCTATTGGAATTATAGAAGAAGTTTATAAGGAGGTAGGGATGGGTATGTGCGTTCATGTTTGATTCGTACTTCTCAAGGACTTTATCGAAGACCCGTCCAATTAATCTATCCTTTTGAAGTTTAAAGTTATATATATGTTTGTTTCATGTATTGTATTTAATTTGCAATGTAGTTTTCAGTATTAATTTGTGCATATTGATTTTGATTATATCTAAATTATATTATTGATATGTAAATTTAATGTGCTCTTAAAAGAGCACAGGTGGGGTGTGTTGGAACTTTTCATAGGATAGAGAGCGCTGTTGCGCTAAAGGAATTCTGTTTTTTTTTTTTTTTTTTTTTTTTTTTTTTTTTTTACATTATGTAACTGTAGTTCGCCATTGCGATGTATGTGTATTGTTGTGATATATTTTGGTGCTGTCATTAAATATAAATGAAAGATATCGTCATGAATTTTTTGTATCCGGATCAAGATCAAATTTACCACTGATGCAAACTCGTTTAAACAAAATATAGTTCGAACAAGAATAGTCAAGTTATTACTAGCCTTTCGAACTACGCATTAGAAATCGTTATTCGCTTCGTAACAACGGTAAAACGCGATATCGGTCGTTCAGTCTCCTGTGTCGTGTGTCTATCGATTTCTCCCGCTGTCTGCCGCCTGTTTCTTCTGGCCTGTAAGGCAATATACCGGTCCTCGTGGACGACCACTACTATACCCCCGGATAGCTGTTCCTGTAGTCTGAAATTGTCTCCAAAGTCGTGAAACGATGCTGTGAGCAATTCCGAACTCTGCAGCCACACTTGTCACACTGCGGCCTTCCTCCAACTTCCCAATGATTCGCCCTCGGGTAAAAGCATCCAGATGTCGTCTAACAGATTGATTATTCGCCATTTCTCGCTGAGGCAGCAACTCGGTGTGATTTTAACTGCTATACGGCGTGCAATCTCTTTGCCAGAAATACTGATCTTACACGGACAACATGCTTTATACTACTCAGACACTCCCCCATTACGTCTACCTGCATATCTGCGCATGTGCTACCGTACATCATCTTACTTAATCTCCTGATTGGTCTTTCTGTCCGCTCTGCCTCTTCGTTCAGCTGATATGCTAATTTTTCGACTTCGTCCTTAATTTTTGCACACCAGTGTATTTTGTGCATAAAATTGGAGATATTGTAATTCTGAATCGATCAAATGTTTCACTTATAAAAATAGCTCAACTGGAAGCTGTGGATATATCAGAAAACTTTTATGATAAATCTCAGCGGGAATTTTTGTTGCCAAGTTTGCAAAATTTGGCGATTTCTTGAAAACTCGGTGAATTTTTGAAAGTTTTCGAAAAGCGTATTTACGAAGCTTTAGAAGCGATTCTTTCCGAAGCTTCCAGAAACTAACCTTACAAATACGATTGCATTGAAGAATTAAATATAGTTCAGAATTATCTGAATAATCAGTTTAGAACTTTGCAATAATGATAACGAACTCTTGCTTATAGCGAATACTGCTCTAGAGTTTACTTTGCGAGGGATATAGATAAACTGCGATGTCCTTCTTACGTTTTAGAGAATTAGTCTTATGTCTGTTTTCTTTACTGGCAGCTGTTTACTTTGTTACGAGTTGTTACGTTTTTCAAGAAAATGTTCGTATCTTCCCATTCATCTGAAGAATTCATTAAAATATCTACGAACTCGAAGCTCACAAGGATATTCTAGTAATATATAATACCTGTTGTAGCCAAGCATATATTTTGTTTTATTAAATTTATGCTAGCCTAAAACTGCTCACAATTATTGTAAAAAAACGTAATACCAAATGCCCTTATTTCAAAATATAATTATTTTATTAGTAAATTTGAATTGGCGAATTACCTTGTTGTCCGTCAGATCCTGGAAAGCCGGGAGGACCTGGAGGGCCTTTGGGCCCTGGGGGTCCCGATGGTCCTGCTCTTCCTTCAATGCCCTGAAATATAAAAATAATTTTTCAAACTAGCTGTAGAATTCAAATATCTGTAGAATGTAGAATACAAATATCATATTTGTATCCTATGGCTAACGAAGAATAACAACATATCCATAATTTTAGAAGTAACTAGCAGTTAATAATTTTTACACATGGTATCTAGCACTGTGGAATTCATAAATAAACATAATTTCAACAAATAACATTTGTTTGTATAAATCATGAAACTATTATACAAGAGTGAAAATATTTTCTTAAGGTAATGTTTAGATAATTAAAATTAAATTTGAAGTCAATTTTTTGGAGGACAAGATATACTGAAATCAAATTTCAGACAAAATATATAAACAAAAAATTTTTATTTTTTTTTTTTTTAATCTACTTTTATTTTAATATTTTATTTTAATTTTTAATTATTTTTTATTTATTAACTTTTACATTACTTTAAAAAAATTATTTACGTTTTGGAGAAAAGTATAATAAAGTTTTTTTGAATGTTTATTTCAATTCTTATCGTGAATATATCTAATCTAATCTAGAATACCGACAATCCATGAGATTTAAAGTTACGCAAAACCTCAAATCTTAGATTGATGTTTGACTAATTTTTATATTTCTAAATTGCAGTGCTTTTCTTCCTTACAAATATCAGTGACGGAATTAGCAATTTGAAAATAACTTTAAATGATACAAAACATGCATTAAATAACAGAAAATAAGCAAAATCCATTTGTTTCCTGACGATTTCCTCATAAAAGTGCAAGAAAATATAATGTATGCAACACATGCAGTAATGGAACGTTTTGCTAAAATTCTCTACAGTTAATAATTTATCCGTCTTACACCAGGAGATCCAGGAGGACCAGCAAATCCTCTAGGACCCGTTTGGCCTGGTAGGCCAGCATCTCCTTTAAATCCAGGCAATCCATCCACTCCTGGCAAGCCTTCGTTTCCTCTGTCTCCCTATTAGAATGAAAATGAAAAACAATGTTAAGTACTAAGTCAAAATAAACATAACTCGCAAAGAACAGCCAATGTTTTCGTATAGTATTTATTTTATAATAGTAATTTTCAAACAGTGGGTCGCTGAGTCGTTGGAGCCGCTGCAAGCTCTAGAAGCACAGTGATTTTGATTTGAAACTTGTCTACCTCTGTGATATTTTCTATCCCCATTTCATTAAATGTGCATCTACGACACAATGAGATCCATATTTGAGTAAACGAAAGAAATGAATGTAGGAGATCAGAAAGCTCTGCACATTTTTGAAAGAAAATGACTTCAAGCTGCTGAGTGCGAAGCTTTCCTATTTATCATGCGTTATTGGTCAGTTTGAAAAACACTTATCAACTCAGATATAAATCAGTATAATCAGACGTAGATTTCTTCAATATCCAGCCTCCTTCAGTATTAACAACTTCGTTAGTGGTATAGCATTTTGATACTTCATGTGATTTCAACTTGAGATTAAAGTTTGTAATGTCTTTTCTAAAGCAGCTTAGGTTACTGGTGAAGCTGAAGGTGGAATCTTTTGAAATACGCAAAATTTACGCAAAACAAGATGTTCAGCAAGGATCTCTGCGAAATGAAACATATGTTCAGAGTGAGCTTTGAGAGACCGCCCTGTGGCGAAGGAGCTAGTGCGTTGCGCAGCTGCACCACAAATCCGAGGTTCGATCTCCGGGCTGGGCAAGTCTGGCTCAGATTTTCATCCCTTGAAAGGGTGAACAAAATGAGTACCAAGTTCGCTTGGGGACTAAACACCGGGGGACCTGCACAAGCTGACCACTTGCCAAGGGCATATGCTGATGTACGCCCGGGCTCAAAAAAGCAGATTTCAGGGCACTCTAGGCCGTGCCGCACTAGGGCTGTTGCGCCACTGAGTTTTGTTTAGGGCTTTGAGAAGAAGAAGTCACTGCAGTTTTTAAACTTCTGTTCTCATCTGGTAAAAAAGAAACAACACATTAAGTATCTGGTTTAATGCAAAATATTACAAAATCCCTAATGAATGTACTCTTCTCTAAAGTAACCATGTTTGAGTTCATAGTTTCATTTGCTCGTGCAATGAGTTTTAAAATTTTAAAACAACTTACCCATATATTTTGAGATCAAGCAATGGGAAAAAATATCTGTAAAAGTATGTAGAACGATATTTTACGTCTCAAATTAACACTTTTCCCTCTGAGGTAGTAGCAATATTACTACTTTCGAATTTAGAATATACAAAACCATGTAGAGATTAAGAGAAAAGTCTGAGAAAGGTTATTTTAGAGCACCCAGAATTCTGCGTGAGTAAAAATGGAAAATTTCACTGAAAATACACTGAAAATTAATGTGAGTAACCATATTATTGCATTTTAATTCACACGTTTTAAATGATTACTGATATTATGACCAAAAAATTGGACTCCACACAGCCAATCAAATAACTGCATAAGTTAAATTACTCTTCACAGAAATTCCAAATAATTCAATTACAGAGAAAAAAGAACATTATAAATAATTTTCAGATGCAAAAGGAGAATCAGTTTTATTTATTAATAATGTAATCGTAGATGTCACTTTAAGTTTCTAACAGTTATTTTAAGTTTAAACATGCTTTACTCTCTATTCTCGTTTCCCATCTATTATTCTCTATCAGAACGAACTTTTAGCATCGCGTTTTATGCAAATGAGTTAGAAGGAGTATTTAAGGAAGGTTAAACTTGCTCCGATGAAGAGAGAATACTTAGGAGTCCTTAGTGGCGCGTGTTTGCCGTCTGGCTACTTTGCTCTTGAACTACTATGCTAGGCCGTATTGCATGTGCCTGTTGATAATCACCGGCTAGGTTAAATTAAGGGCCAACCATGCTAGGTATTTGTGGCTAGCTTCGGCTAAGTCTGTTTAGTTTAGTATTAGATTAGTTTCTTATTTTCTTATCTTGAGTTAAAAGTCCGAGTGGAGGCTTTTCTGTAAGCCCGAGAAAGAACCATCTGTGAGTGAATAAAAGGGTATTTTAACTCTTCTCTAGACTCTTTCGTAAATACTCGAACTCAGCGATAAGTCGCTACTTAGTTCACTAAGTTCCTGCACATTTAGCATAGACAAAGTACTGAGGAACATTATATAGTAAAGATAACAAATTTTAAGCTCACAAAATGTCAAATACAGTTGCTTAGTAATTCAAGGTCGAGGAAAATTAGAGGGAAATGATATCAACACTCATCGATCTTTTTATTTAAAAGAACTCAGCAAATGCTTTAAAAATTAATCCACCTGCAGTTCTCAACATTATTTTGATCAGAGCTATGGCTTTCTTGTAGCAGTGGTGCTGTACCGGAAACACATAGAATTCGATTGCTATTGGAGACGTTAATTTCAAGATGAGTTACTTTTTACTCCTAAAGTGAAGTTTACTTGAAACATAATACAATAATGTACACAAAAAGCAATTTTACTAACACACATGGCAAGCACGATAACTCTCTGTCAAATTAAAATGAAATTAGGTTTAATTTTGAACATATAACCTCGGCAGAATTTTAGCCTCGATATCATATCCCTTAACTAACACCATCGGAGAAATTTCGTAGTACAGAAAAACTGAACTAATTACAAAATAGAGCAACATATTTTATATGTGCTTATCATAGTACGCTTGCAGAATCTGTCTTAAAATAACTTTACAAAAATTTTACTAACAAATAAAAAGTAAGTAATAAAAGTTTGAAATTTTCCAAATTTTAGGTTATAATCTTAAAAGAATTAAGAAACGAAAACGACATTTGAAAAGAATTTTTTTAAATGATGCCACCTTCAAAAGCAAATAAATAGAAATAAGAATTGCTTTCTTTCCTAAATGTTCTTATTAGAATGGATGAAATAATTTTTGATTTACGGAAACAACGTTTTTGAAAACGAAAACTACTGGTTTAAAACTTTACAATATTTATTAATATATTTATAGCTTAATTTCTTTCTTTTGAGATACGACTTTCATGCAAGCTATGCCATACAATATAGAAACTTCAATCTTCCTTTACTTTTGTATATGGACTTTCTCACAAAACAATAAAAATACCCTGGGAAAAAATCAAATACGTGTCCGGGAAAAAAAGCTGTAAAAATAATTTCCTTTTTACTATACATTCAAGAAGAGTGCACAGTTTTTTAATTAACATATAAAACTAGTCAACGTAAAATTGAATTCGTAGACGATATCATGCCACTGAAGCAGGCAGATGATAAATGAAAAGAACCTAGAACTAGCTCTTGTTAAGTATTATCACCGAGGAAAACATAAAGCTTTTAATTTATCTTAAGTATATTGTTTGAAATATACGTTTTATCTTTGATTTTACTTAGAAATATATAATTTATTTGACAGCCTACCTTATAGCCTGGTTCCCCGGGTGGGCCTGGAACTCCTTCTTTACCCTACAATACATCAATATATTAATGTATATTATGTACAAAATGTACATCATGATGTACATTGTATCACATATCATAGCAATAGAAACATATAATAGAATCAATTAAAAATAAATGGATTGGTATTTTTTATGCAGGCTAATTTAGTTTATTACTCTGCATATTTTTCTTTGGTTAAGGAATGAAAGACAGAAAATAAAAAAAAAATATAAAATTACGTCCAAAGAGGTGTTTTTATAACGTTTTGTGTGCTACCTTTATTTATTAAATATGTTCTTTGGATTAAACGCCTCTACTAATCACTACTAAGCTCTACTGAGATCAAATAATAATCATAGATAAGAAATACATAGTTTCAAGTATTTTCAGTATCCTTGAGGAGGATAAAGCGTGTTTAAAATTCATCAATATGAAAAATCCTCTCGAAAGGCCAATAAATAGAGTGAAGTGCAATGCCCATCGACTGGAATGTTTGGTATCAAAACGGGGATGGAGCTTGGTGTAAAGCCATGAACTATGGCGTTAATAACCGATACGGTAAACAGCGAGCTATAAACAAACACCTTTTTAATATCAACATATAATCATAACAGCACGAAGCAAAATTTTTAATAAAGCAGAGTAACCCAAGAGCAAGCTTTAATGCCATAGTAAACAGACTTAAAAAAATTGAAGACATACAACACACACTACGTAGAGCTAGAAATAAGATTTTTATCTGTGCAAGACATAATTCGAATTTTATATATTAATATTATACTTTTATTATATTTATATATTAATATTATATTATTACGAATTTTAGTGTAACTAATTTTAGTGGCATTATATGTAAATCGTAGATCTCTTGTATAATGCTACATGAAACACTTCAAGAAAAGGAAGTTCCGCCGGATAAATAAGGTTACAGGAATAAGTCCATTTAACATTAAGATAAATGGGTATCAAACTGACAGTGCTAAGCTAGAGATGGTTTTGGCGACAAAGTTGGTTTTATCCTACATAACTGTAATTGTATAATTCTTACCTAACTGTAACTGCCTCCGGCTCTATACCTAACTGTAACTGTATACATCTTCTAACAATTTTTAGGTTCTCAGTTGTTTGTAGTTCAGAACTGACTTTGGAGTATTGGGATATCTCCGTGTGAACTTCGTTCTTTAGTTGCGCTTTGCTTGACGTTGTGGTTAACGTTCTTAGTAGTTTGAGGTGGTAACTACTGATTGTGTTATGTCATACTGAGAATAGCTATACCAGTATTTTTGTGGAAAGTTCCAGACCTGCTAAGTGTTTCTTATGGTAAAATAAATTTTACCAAGTTATCATCGGTTCTGGGCGCATTTAATCCTTTACGAACACGTAGGCACGTAACAATATTAAATGTTAAGTACTAATTTTTGCAACTTAATAAAAAAATCTAAAATCGTGCCTGAGAATTTAGTATTAAACGTGCAATTCAGTATTAAATGGAGTCAATGCATTCTATAACTTCTTAAAAAAATTTTAAAATATAGTGTCGTAACTCAAGCGTCATAAAAGGATATGACATTTCCCGTTATTATTTTTATATTTTCCAAGTTCTCTGCGAGATAGTAAAAATTCTTTCCTTATTTTAATATAACGGATATTGAACCTTGTAGGAAGAACAAAGCTAAATTTTCAGAATGAACAAAATACTTTTATTTGAATTTTAAAATAGAACCCCCCAAAAATAAATAAATAAATAAATAAATAAAATAAAAAAATAAATAAATGCTGCAGCTCTTAACTATCAAAATTTTAAACTCTTAACTACTACAGTTAAACTCTTACAACTATTAAAATACTAAACATTAAACTCTCTAAACAAAATATATAAAAATCTTCCGAATTCTCTTCTTGTTGCCACACCGTAAAATTCAAGTTCTTGTCCTATTATTTATATTTCACGTTCTCTTTAAGTCACGATCTTTACAAGTCATGATCTTTACAAGTCACGATCTTTACAAGTCATGATCTTTACAAGTCACGATCTTTACGTTGGTGTATTTAATTATGGCAAAGCACACGAGGGCTATCTGCCTAAGGGGAGGGATGCCTTTCGTGGAGGACTTTCTAAGGGAAACTGGCTCGTATACACGTTACACATGGGGAAAACCACGAAAACGCCCATGCAGCCAGCCCGTTCGCGGGATTCGAACCTCGGACCGAACTACCAGTGTTCAGCGACTTTACCGCTCGGCCGCTGGTGGGCCCCACGATCTTTACAAGTCCCCCCACAAGAAGCACATTCGTCACCGTAGAGACAATGCTGCTCAGAGTTCATTGAGAGAGAAAGAGTTAACAGCTAACCTTGACAAAGCATCAGCATTCCCATGTGAACTTCCTTTGCGGTATGTCCCCGTCATGTTATACCGTTGTAACGCTAAGGCCCAACGAGACAGTTTAGCACCATGAGGGGCGCTTTGGGTCAAGTAGGTGAGGGGTTTGTGATCAGACACAATCTGCACTTTGGCACCGAAAATCCATGTGTCAAACTTTTTCAAGGCTTCGATGACACAAAATGCTTCTCGTTCGATGGTTGACCATCGTTGTTGACAGGGCGTTAATTTCTTGCTGAAAAATGCTATGGGCATTTCTTTGCCATGTTCGTCGTTTTGAGCTAAACACGCCCCAATTGCGAAAGCAGATGCATCCGTATAGAGTTGAAAGGGCTTGCTGATGTCCGGAGTATGCAGAGATGGCATTTTAATAAACTCTTCTTTAAGTTTGTTCAAAGCTGCTTCTTTTTCAGAGTCCCATGGAATATTATTTGGAACACTCTTCTTTGTAAGGTTTGTTAGAGGTAAAACAATCTCAGAAAAATTTGGGATATAATCCCTATAGTAGCTTGCTAGCCCTAAAAGACTTCTGACTTCTTTTTTAGTGGTAGGCTTAGACAGATTTCTGATGACTTCTACCTTCTCAGGATCTGGAGAGTGAGTGCCAGAACCTATTACATGTCCTAGAAACTTCCCGTGACTCTTTCCGAAATCACACTTTTCTAGATTTGCGGTTAGACCTGCGTTTCTCAGTGTCTGGAACACTAGGTCGATGTGATAGAGGTGGCCATCCCAAGTTTCAGAAAATATTGCCACATCATCAATATAGGAACGGCAGTAGTCCTTATGGTTTGCAAGCACCTTATCCATCGATTTTTGGAAGGTACTTCCAGCATTTTTCAAACCGAAAGAGAGAACTTTCCATTGGTAACGGCCGGAATGAGTGATAAATGCTCTATAGGGTTTAGCTTCTTCTTTCATAGGAATTTGCCAATATCCCTTGGTTAAATCGAGAACTGTTATGAATTTGGCTTTCCCTATTTCGAATAGTAAATCTTTAGCAATCTTCATCAGATAGGCGTCCGGAATTGTGAAGCTATTTAAAAGCCTGAAGTCTATGCACAGTCTAACGCCGCCATTCTTTTTTGCCACACATACTATAGGATGTGCCCAGTCACTGTCACTGGGTTCTATAAGATCCCATTCTAACAGTTCTTTAACTTGACGATCGACTTCCTCTTGAAGTGAAACAGGAACAGGGTAGGGCCTCAATCTTTTTGGATTACATTCATCTGTAACCTTGATGTCATGACCATCAACATTGGCTTGACCAGGTTTGCTACTGAAAACATCTACATAAGATTTTAGTACTTTAAATAGTCCTTCCCGTTGGTAATATTTTAAGTCGTCTTTCAAATTTTGTAAATGGGTCCAGATATCATCAGCAGATTTATTCATAAGATCTGCTGGTGCATAGTGGATATCTCCAAACTCGTCATCTTGGTCAAAAATGATACCAACGTGATCTACACGAGCAATATAAGGCCTTAACTTATTTATATGGAGTTCTCTAATACTTCCGTTTTCCATTTCGATTTTGGCAGTGTGGCCTGGTAAGTTTGATCACAGTAGCTGGTCCTTGCCACGTATTGAGCAATTTATGTGATGATGATGGCATTAACACGAGGACTTTGTCCCCAACATTGAAAGTCTTTTCTTGAGAACGTAAATTGTATCTTGAAGTGTACTCTTCTTGAGATATTTTGGAATTTGCTGATGCAATGTCATGCTTTTCTTAATTTTTCCAAAAGGTCTTGTAGATAATTTTCAATTGAACAGGAAGCTGTAACTGGAATGCTACGTTCACCTGTCCATATCTCTTTCAGCAAAGATAATGGTCCTGGTGGTATTCTTCCATATACCATCTGGAAGGGAGACAAACCAGTGGTGCTATGTGGCACTTCTCTGTAGGCAAACAGGAGATAGGGAAGATTCAAATCCCAGTTTCTGCCATGTTCTTGGATATTTTTGTTCATCATCTCTTTTAAGGTTCTATTCCAACGCTCGACAGCACCCATACTCTCGGGGTGTCCTGGAGTGGAGAATCGTGGAGACACACCAAGTAAGTTCTCAAAGGCTCGGGTGAGTTTGGCTGTGAAATTAGTTCCCTGGTCGGAACAAATCACTTTTGGAAATCCAGTTTGAGTAAAAAGGCCTCATCAAAACGTTGCATGTTGTTTTCGCACTTATGTCTTTGACGGGGGTGGCTTCTGCCCATCTGGTGCATAGGTCAACTGCACATATCACAAACCGATGACCTCTCCTGGATGGAGGTTCTAATGGCCCGATACAATCCACGCTCCATACTTCAAAGGGTGTTTCCGGTCTAACAATAGGTTGAATTGGGATTCGATCTTTGTACGTAACTGTTCTCCTCAATTGGCATTCTTTACAACTTTCACAGAATTTTTTAACATCTTGCTTAATATTAGGCCAAAAAAATGAGTACTTGATTCGTTGAATTGTCTTTTTCTCACCGAGGTGGCCGGCAAAAGGGATTCCATGTGCCATTTTTAGGACTTCCTTTTTTTTTTCTAAAGGTAACACAACTTGCTTAATGTTTTCACCACAGATATATTCGGAATGAAGTAATATGCCATCATCGAAAGTATATGAATTTTGATTTTTATTTGCCCATTCAAAGCATTTTTTCAGAGTTTCGTCTTGTTCTTGATGTGTCTTGAATTCTAGTCTTACTCTGTTCGTTGTTTTCAGAGACTATATGTTTTCTTAGGAAATCTGATTAACAACAGCCAAATTTGTAGTATTGTCTTCAACTGGTGAGGGTTTATCATCTGTCTCTTTGTACTCTAAGGGGGATGCATCCCAATGACGATCACTGTTCCACAGTTCGATATTTCTACAGAGTGTTTCATAAGCTGAAGAACTCAATAGCAAGTCGGTAACTAGCTTTTTTGAAACAGCACACGTAATGGACCGTGAAAATCATCGTCAATTTTCATCTGGAAAATCTTTAGTGGAGTAATTTCGTTTTCACCAAAAGCAGAAGATATCTCTATTTTACTTTCTCCTTCGCAAGGTATGTTGTCAACCAATTTCTCACGGACTACTGAAATTTGTGCTCCCGTGTCTACGATTCCATTTAGAATAATATCTCCACATTTAACTTTGACAAGTTTTAATTCATCTATGTTTCTAGACACGTCCACTGATTTTGAGATAGGAATAGAGATCTTGGCAGTTAGCACTTCTGGTTTTTCTTTTTCTGCAAGGGGTGCTTGTGTTTGTATTAAGTTGTTTTGTGCTGTTGCAGAAGCACTTCTTGGTATCCGATTTTTGGTACATAACTTAGATGTATGACCTTCTTTTCCACAATTATAGCAAGTTAATTTGAAACTAGTCTTTTGTGGTTCGTCACTCTTACGGGATGGGTACACTCTTGGTGTGTTTTCAGCGTACAGCGATTTATTTCTGAAAGCTCTTTCTGGAAGTGGAGAATGAGGTTGCCATTTTTTATTAGTTCTGTCTGTTGATGGATTACCACCAGTCTGTTTTGAGATATTACGAACACTGTCATATTCGTCAAGTTTATCAGCTAATTTGGTTGGAGAAACGAATTTCGCCCAGTCGTCAAGAAGATGGTCTCTTACTTCATAGGGTACTCTTTTCTTAATTTGGTCAGTAATAATCAAGTCTTTTAACGCGGCAAAATTTGTGATTTCAAGACCATTGATCCATTCTTCAAAATAACTTGTAATTTCGTAGCAAAAATCTCTCCATGATTTTTTCAGCGCTCTTTTGGTGCATCACAAATTTTTTTCTAAAGCTTTCAGGATTTAATTTAAATCTCTTCAATAAAATGGCCTTAATGTACTCATAATCTTCAAAATTTTCTTCAGATTCCCTACCAATTAATTGAATGATTTCAGATGGCATTAAAGTCAATAAACATGAAACCCAATCTTTAGGATCAATCTTTGTCCTTTTAGCTTGTCTTTCAAATAAGGATAAATAAATCACAATATCATCGTGTCTTAAATTGAATTTGGGAATAAGCTTAATTAAATCAAAATTATGATGTCCATTTTCATTTGTTGGTGGAGTTTGTGTTAGTCGAACACGAGATTCAATTTCGAGTTTCCTCAATTCAAACTCCATTTGCTCTCTTTTCTGCTGTGCTTCTAATTCTTCTTTCCTTCGTTGTTCCTCAATCTCTTCTTTCCTTCGCTGAACCTCAAGCGCTTCTTTCCTTCGCCTTTCCTCAAGCTCTTCTTTCCTTCGCTGTTCCTCAATCTCTTCTTTCTCCTTTCTTCGCTGTTCCTCAATCTCTTCTTTCTCCTTTCTTCGCTGTTCCTTTTCTTTTCCTCTCTTCAATAATCGTTAAAAACACTTCTTTAGCAAATGCTTCATCATATGTATCACTTTGAATTATTTCATTTTTTATCGCCACGATTTTCATACTTGGATCTACTTGAATTTCTAATTCAGCAGCTAAAGCCAGCAAATCCTCTTTTTTCCCACGTCCCATAAAAGCCATGTCTCGATTTTATTCAGCCAATAGACTCTTAGTTTTATAAAAAAAAAAACAATTTTTTTTCTCTTTTTTCTTTTCTATTTAAATATAATTCACAATGAATTTAATTTTATTCGGCACGAAAATCAATCAGTGGAATCAATACTTAATGTGTTGTTCACCTACTCTGGCGAGTCAAACGAAATTACATTTGAACACTGGCGTATTCATTACTTTGACAAGTAAATAAACTAAGATTCCATGACGGAAACAATAATTAACTTTTCATAATCTTAATTAATTATTTTACGTTTACAAGGTAAATTGAGCTCTCACCTGAGTTATTTTGGTTCGTAATTATATGCGGGGAAATCCCGATCCTGTCGGCTGCGCCAGTTAAAAATTCTTCCTTATTTCAATATAACGGAATATTGAACCTTGTAGGAAGAACAAAGCTAAATTTTTCAGAATGAACAAAATACTTTTATTTAAATTTTAAAACAGAACCAAAAAAATAAATAAATAAATAAAAAAATAAAAAATAATAAATGCTGCAGCTCTTAACTATCAAAATTTTAAACTCTTAACTACTACAGTTAAAACTCTTACAACTATTAAAAATACTAAAACATTAAACTCTCTAAACAAAATATATAAAAATCTTCCCAATCCTCTTCTTGTTGCCACACCGTAAAATGCAAGTTCTTGTCCTATTATTTATATTTCACGTTCTCTTTAAGTCACGATCTTTACAGAGATCTTCAAAGTTTTTTAATCTAAGGATTTTTTAATATGTTTTTAAGGAGCTCATCATTTACTTGATATCAATTATATATATTTCCTTATTAACAAGGCAGAAAGCATAACTTTCTACTGACATCTTCTTTGCATTTTGCACGTTTGAATATAAGTTCATTAGATTATTCAGTAAAAGGCTAATTACTATGTAGAAGAATCCATTTTAAAAGTTAGGGAAGCTCGCTTTCTAAACCTCTTGAGAAAAGAGAAAATTACGTAAATACTAAATAAATACCAGAACTTTGTGCTAAAAAAGTGTTCAATAAATCACTTAAGGGGGGGATACGCGAGGGAAAGAAGTATGCGAGTAAATATGGTGATCACTTCGTAAAGCAAGAAACTAATGATATGTGTATTACAGCAGAGGCAAGCTACCCAATCGCCGTAAACGCTGCGTCTGCACGATACTGAAGGAAATATTCTGGTTCTAGTTCAAGCGAATAATTGAAAAGCTACATTTGGTGCTTTATCAAAAAAATAAATAAATGAATAAATAAATAAATAATGAAACAGGACTAAAATAAATCTGCATAGTTCCTGCTGGAATGGGGGGGGGTGAAATTCTTGAGTTAAGTATTAGAAGTGTGAAAGCTTAACTTGAGATAAACTACTTAAGATTATTTATAACATTAACAACATACTTATAATCACATATACTTATGAATATAGAAACTATGTTTTATACATTGCCATATAATCCATATATTAACATTCCATTTGTACTTACAATTCCTTGGAATTATTAAAAATATTAATTGAGTTAAAATACTCTATAATTCTTACTGCCTGTAAAGACAAATAGAAATCTCAGATATATAATTGTGAGAAACTGGAGCCTCAGAAGCCATTCAATTCACTAATAAAAATCAGCCAATCAACATCTTCACAGAATTTTAGTTTATGATTGAGGAGTTAATATGTAATTTTATAATATTTAAAAAATAAGTATATTTTCTGAATTTTGTCAAACTTAAAAAATGCACTTCGAACTTACTCTTGGTCCAGGATGACCTGGAAGTCCTTTCTCGCCAACCATTCCTACATCACCTGGTGGACCCTACAAAATGGAAGAATGTGAATAAAAATATATATTGCAATAAATTATAAAAAAAATGTAGTAAGCTCGCCTAAAAGTTACCAAGAGCTGCTGCTCCAAAAAGTTCAACACGTTTTAAAAAAATTAATACATATGAAAATCAAACCATTAAACATGTAAAACATTAAAAAAACAAAATCAGATAAAAAAAGTAAGCGGAAAATGGTAAATTAGCTCAACTCGACTTCCAAACTGGTTTTTCAAGGGAAATTTAATTTATTTGAACGTCGAATCAAGCTAACCCCATTACGCGTTTCGCCGAAACAGACAACTGAAACTTTTTCGCTACAAAAATTTTTTTTAATTTAGACAAAGTGTCTTGGAAATTTTAATAGTCTCAATTCTCTGTTCCAATTTCCCGACGCGTCCGCACAAAATGACACATTAAGGTGTTAAAATATGTTAAAATGTACCTAAACATCTTAAATCTAGACTAAAAGCAAAATTAAAATCAAAAATAAAATCAAAATAAAAACGAAAATAAATAGCGGTCAGCTATTAGTCCTAAATATACAAAAAACATACGGGCTGGGCCTGCAAGCTTAAAGATTAACAATTTAATTTTTTATATATTTTAGAAATATGTAATGAAAAACTGTAATTAAAATAAAAGAAAATTAAGATGATAACAAACTAAGTGGGTCTTGCTAAGACCAAGAAAAAGTTGTAACAAAAGAAACAAAAAACAGACCTGTGGCGATGCAAAGCTCTCCCTCTTAAAACTAGTTGAAAAGTGGTTGTAATTCCCTTCTGTGTACTTCATCCGAATGACGTATGTAGGGGAAGCGAAGTTCTGTGGGCATTAGCCAATAAGAAGAGATTTTCCGTGATCTGCAACTCGTCTCCTATTATCGAAGGGGGACGGAAACCTCGGAAAAGCTTGAAAAGATCTCAAAAATGGCGCCTGGCATGTAGTTGGATGGAAAAAATTTTTGTCTCGAAGTGAAAATGGCTAATTCAGCTAAAACTACAAAAACGTGGCCATTAAAGCAAGAGTAAAAGGAAAAAACAGTCATTTGTTAAAAAAGTCGTAATTCTTCAAGCTAGTGGGCGATCAAGCTACTATGAAAAACGAAAAGACCCGATTTGTAATAAAAGTGGCCATTATAGAAATTTAAAACTATGTACACAATAGCATTTAAAAGTTAAGTGCCAAAATTTTGGAGGAAAGAGAATGAATAAACAAGAATTATCTGTACATTTTTTACATTAGATTCTCTGAATTAGCCATCCATCTTAAACCGTCCGTGGCTTTAGGCATAAAATATCATTATCTAATTCAAAAAATCTAAAAATAGGTAAGGCTAATGCCGGCTTTTGTAAGGGTATTTTTAATTATTTTATGAGGAATTAGGTTACTTTTTAAAATAGTTACGAAGTATAGTATTTCTTCTTGTAAGTGTTTCGCAGTATTGCATATTCTTTTTATTCTAAGTAGCTGTGAATAAATTGTGTTGAGTATGACTCTTTCGGAAATATTTGAATTCCAGTTAGTTAATTTAAGTGTGGAAAAATTAAATTCTCTTCTTTTGTCGTAAACTTTAAAAAAATTGTAATCTATAATATGTAAATCAAGGTAGACTACATTATGCTGTTCTGTATTTGTTTTATTTAGTTTTAAGCATGCAGGGTAGATATTAGCTATTTCTATTTATTTTGTTGTAGTTATTAAATGCAATGACATCATCAATATATCTATAGATGTGTTGGTAAAAGATACGTTCTTCTGTACTGAGTGAACGGACATAGGTCAATTCTTTAGTAAACAGGAATAATTCACAGACAGAGCTTGAAAAATTACCGCCCATAGGGATACCCTGTACTTGTTTATAGATGTTATTGTCAAATTGAATGAAATTATTGAAGAGCACGCTGGTAAGGAATAGTTGCCATTTTTCGTTGCTGAGAATGGTAGAAATTTGCGGAAATAAATTTGGAAGAGCAAGTAAACTTGTAAAAATTTCTTCGAGCGGTAGAGATGTATAGAGGTTTTCAAAGTCGTAGCAATGGATATGGTTTATTTTAAGTGAATTCATAGTTTTAAGAACTAGTTCGTTACTAGAGATCAATAAATTATTATAATGAGAAGATATAAATGAAAATTTAATCTTTGTTTAGTTATTTATTTAGTGATTAATAAAGTAGCTCCATCAGATTGGAATAAAAATATCGCCCAGTTTTTTATTTCTCAAAAATGCAGCTATTTTGCATGCGAAATTATATTCCATGGTTATGATGGATATATGCTACAGGATGCAAGAGCTGAAATTTTAAATATGGTAAAGCATTGTTTGTATATCTTTTCAAGAGATCACTCAAAACAAATTAAAGATAAATGAGAAAAATAAACAAAAGAAACTTCAATTTAAGCATGTTATGCATATTTTAGTTGCAGAATTTTAATTTCGGTTATTCTGTTCACTATCTGCATCATATGAATTAAATTTTATCTTTCTTCTTTTAGTTTAATTAAAACACTATGTGTAATTCATTCCATAAAAGTTTCATTTTAATTAACTCAATTACCTTATCATTTTGGCTTTTCTGTAACTCCTATTGTAATCAGCTTTCACCAGAAGTTAAATTAGTTTAAAATATAAATAAGCTTCTTGTTGCTAAAACGTTCAGGTAACATCAGCCAACATAAGCTGGCCCTCACTCTTCTTTGGATTCACTGTTGTTTTATTTCATCTTTCCAGCAAAATTTTATTTCTCTGCAAGCACTTAATTCTGTACGCTGCATTTAACTGAATTTGAAAGCGTGTTTGCTTACATGCAAGGAAGCAGAGCTTTTGTTTTTGTCAGAATTTTAGTTTATCCGACCGTCAGATCGAGAAGTTAATATGTAATTTCATTTGAAGTTTTAACCTGTTTTGAGCTACTTCTAGTTAGCAAACTGACGGGATAAAAAGTCATCTAACGCTCACTCACTATTATAATTACTGAATTTATAATTAATAAATTTTATTTATTATAGTTATAATTTTATAACTAAAGTTATAAATAGTAAATTTTATTTATTATAGTTTATTTATAACTAGTAAATTTATTACTTCCAAGTTAGTAACAAAACATATATATGTTACAAAGGTTTAACTATTTCCTTTTTAAAATCATTATATTTTAAAACTGCGCAATCTAACGATTTTTCTTTATTTCAGTTATTAATCTATATATGTATATAAAAGAAAGTCTGTGTGTTTGCCCTCTAATAACTCAGTCACTACTATAGCTATCATTGCTAAACTTTTCACGATTCTTTTCTGGGTCCTGGAAAAGATCGACGTCTACTTTTTGCCAAAAAAAGTAGCTAAAATCAGAGATATTAATTAAAAATTCTGAAAAACGATCATTTCCCCCCTCAGTTTTCTGAGTGGGAACAGTCTCGCAAGGAGATGAAAATTTGCTTTATTTCGGAAGTTGTTGCCACTGCTTCTTTTCAAATCGTAGAGTTTGTTAATAAAAAATTTCGAAGTTTTACAATGAAATAAAAATAGCATTGCCAAACGTCAAATACATTATTCCTGATTCCAAAAATTCGTGGGAAGCCATTCGATTGCGTACGACTTTAATCAGCCGAAATATTAATTCAAAACTCCGAAAATTTAATTAATTTTCGCATTTATTTTTCCGAAAGGCAACAGTCTCTCGCGTTGGAGATCAAAATGCTTTATTTCGAAAATTGTTGCTACTGCTTGCTTTCAAATCGTAGAGTTTGTTAATGAAATTTGTACGTTTTACAAAATCTATATATACAAGGAAGATTGTCTGTTTGTGGGTGTGTTTGTTTGTTCGCGTTATTACTTTCTGATTAATTATGATAAATGTTTTGCCACACTTAATCGACTAAAATTGAATATAAGTGAAATACTGGATGGAACTTGAGCTCTTAGGACCCTTTGATTAGAAAGACGAAAATCATTAAAAGGTGCGTGCCATCCTTGCTGATAGAATGAGACAGAATTATTTTATTTTCCTATGGAAATATTTTATGTTGGTTCCATATCGCATCAGACTGAAAAAGTTATGACTATGAGATTTGTTGCATCGTAATTAGAAAACGGTTACAGAGGTATCGTTCTCTCTGTTGTTAGACGCATTACTCTCAATCAAACTTAACTGCCGTTGGGTACTTCCGCGAGTTTTGAATAAATAAGATTTTTTTCTCCAGGAAGATGGTAACATAGATTTAAACATTTTCCAAAGAAAACAAAATCCTGAAGTGTCGTCTGATGTGCCGCTTAAATCTGAACCTTATGCAAATCACAACGAGCGTAAACAGGGGACAACAATCTAGTTAAAATATGCTTCCTAACTAACGTAGGAATTATACACCTCCCTTCAGCACATCTCTCTATGCACCCTTGTCTATTCTGTTCCTCTAAATAACCCTCCTTCCACAGTTATCCGAATTTTAAATACCTACCGACTTGAAATGCCCTGTGTCTTTCTTTCTCAACGTATAATTTCCAGCGAAAGTGAAATAACTTTCGAATGAAGTACTTGAGACGCGAAAAGAAGCGTCGATGAATGGGTCAGGAAAACATGACTCATAATCGAAATTATAGATATGCTATAAATTGAACATTTGACTGTTGACATGAGTATGGATGAATCGGGACATAGATTAAATGACGTACAAATGAAAAATGCACAAATGGGGCTTCACGATATTGAACTGTTGAACATTTGAGCTCTTAAAGTATAAAAAAAAATTCTACTGCTGAATGGTAATAGTAATTGATTTAGTAACTTCTTCAATCGATGATAAATTTGAAATGTTGAAAGATAATAATAATTTTCTAAATTATTACCTTTCAGCATTTCAAATTTATCATCAGTTAAGGAAGTTAGCAAATTACCTGCTAATAAAAGTTAAACTAGTATAAGATAGTAAATATTTGCTTAGTACACGCTAAAAATTAATCATATATACTTCTCAGTCACCCTTCATAGCCTGATACAGAAGATCTGTGAGAGACGTCCAAGTACGCTTACCATTCATGTTTAACAACAAACTCCGCTTTTCAGGATGTGAATAGCATTTCATAATGAGTTTATCAAAACATCAAATCCTGGCTCTTTCAACACTCATTTTTTTTTTTTTTTTTTTTAACACGGTAATTTGAGAAGCCTGAAATTTTCAAGCTGAGTGCTTCCCCAAATTAAACGCATCATTCGAACCGAATTCTTCCCCAAATTTAATGGGTTGGAAGCTTATATTATTGTTTTCGTATAAGCTGAATTCTTTAAATAGGAGTACTCGAGAAATAGAAATTTCTTGAGAGACACTGAAATAATTTTCTTTCCATTTTTTCCCATTTTCTTCCCATCTGCGTCAATAAGCCATCCTCATAAGCAATTGTACTTTCGCTCTAAAGTTCTTCAAGAATGTATTTAAAAAATATCCAGAGTGAAAAAAAACTAAACTTTTTGACATTTTGCTATTTATTTTATATTTCAAAATATTTCATATATATTCCTTTAAAACAGAAATAACGTAATAATTTAAAATATTTTTGTGTCCCTGTTCGCTTTAATCATTTTACATAATATTTCTTCCATTAAAAAAAAAAAAAAAAGAAATACTCTTATCAAATACAAAGGAAAAATTAACTTTCATTATTCAAGAGGACACTTTAATTGTCCCTCAAATTCATGAGATTTCGCTTCACAGTTCTTTCCAGTATTTCTTATCATCGAAAATAATTTTTATCATGAATGTACGACATATTTTGCTTTGTTAAGTATCTTTATATGTACATATTTACGCAAAATAAATAGTATGACTGTATTTTTGGCGGAATTTGCCCATGTCTCATTAACACGAATTTTTTATTACTGGAAACTATTTTCAGGTATTTTAAATTTCGGCTCGTAAATCACGTCTCAGATTTCTGTTTATTCTTGATATAATAAAGTAGTCATCGCCTACTTTTATTTTGCTTTATCAAAAGAAATTTCACAGAAATGAATGAGATTGGACTTTACATTTTCTTAAACAGATGATATTGTCATCATACGTTCGAAAAAAATCTACACTTTGGTTACTTATTAAATAATAATAGAAATTAAATACGGCTTATTAAATAATATATGTCATCTTATGAATACAAGAAACTAAATTCGCGCAACATTTTAAGGGGTTTTTGCTTTTTAATAAATCACATTATAATTCCTTTTAAAATATGTGATCAGAGATGTGAAAAAAACACCAAAATTGTTTTTATTATTGTGAAATACTTAAATGAAAGAGTGTTAAATTAAAATATTCATATTTTCTCATATTTTTACATTTAAAATAACAGTAGAAATGAGTTAAATTTTCATATTTTTATACTCAAAGGTCTAAAAATATTATTAAAAAGAATATGCAATTTTCATATTTTTACATTTTTAGACTTTTAAATGTGAAAATGTAGCTTAACCAAAAACACAGTCAAATGATATTATACCAAAAATGTTACATTAAATTACTAAAAACTAACCGTTATGCCTGATATTCCATCAAAACCTCGATCACCTCTCTCTCCTGGTTCTCCCTAATTCGAAGGGAAAAATATTATAACATTTATAAATAATTTCAAAAAATAAAAAATGAAATTATTAGCATATTATACAAACTTACCTTTCAAATTCCTAACAGAAGCTTTCAAAAACAAAATATAAAAAATATTACTTGGATATATTTTCATTGTAAATTATTAAAAAGCTATAATTTGCTAGATTCAAAAGTGCTTCAGCCCATGAATATGTAAAGTAATTTCATCTATAAAGCTCTACATTTTACCTATTATGTGACGTTAGCAATTTTATCAAAGTTGTGCAATAAATAACATTTTATTAATTTTATACAAATAAACTGCATGGCATCGTATCTTATCATATTTTAACTAAATACTCATCACTATTGAAATCACATATTTGATACTCTTTAACGCTATTACTGTGCCTTCTGTGGACTATTACGTAGATTAAGAGATTCTCTACATGTTCTTATCAAATCAAAACAATTTATCAAATATCATTTGATAAAATTGGATGTTAACAATTTTATCAAAGTTGTGCAATAAATAACATTTTATTATTTTATACAAATATAATGCAAGGCACCGTATCTCATCGTATTTTAACTAAATATTCATCACTATTGAAAATCACGTATTTGATACTCTTTAGGGCTATTACTGTGCCTTCTGCGGATTATTACGTAGATTAAAAGATTCTCTACATATTCTTCCCGATTAGTTATTCAGGATATCAAATTAATTATTGTAAAAACTAGATCAAATGATTAGAAATAACATTAGATTGTGCAATTAAATCTACTGTACAAACAAAACAAAATTCATAATAAGCTTTTATAAACATTTCCCCAAGAATTAACTAAATTATATTTTATAAATATGTAAATATAGTTGCAATTAGCTTATTCGTTTAAATAAGTAATTCTGATTATTTAAAACGAATGGAAGAAGATACAAGTTAGTGCTCATGAAAGAAAAAGATAACCCACTGAAATATGAAGTAATCTCGTTAAAATAACTCCTCCTTTTATCTATATACAATTTTAATAGATTTTATATAATTATAAATCATTGTACCACCTCTTATGATATATGTACCATAACTGTTGAATTCTTACTGAAAATCAAATTGCTTCATATTCAGATTAAGGTTATTAGTATTTCATATTCAGTTTAAGGTTAATTATAGTCTCTATAATCATTTATATTAACAAATATTTTATTCTGATCCGTGCATTCTGAATAAAATATCAAACTGTGTTTTCCCATCCATACGAATTCAAAGCAAAGATGGTTTTAAACACTTGCTCTTTTGATATGATTAACGTAAAAATATTATAGAAAACATTTCGCTGTAATAATTAAAAAATTAGGAAGGTATGAAATTTTAGAAATATAATAAATTAAGTGGATGTCCAAAACGGTTGAAGTTAAATAAAACTATATTGTGCATGAAATAAACTTTTCCCTTTCATTAATTTATTTATTATTTTTTTCGTTTTTTTTTAAACACAGCTGAATGCTTCTTTCAAATGAAAAAGAGAAATTTATTAGCTAAAAACGATGAAAATATCAAACACATAATCTGGATCCAGCAGTCTATGCTCTCCTTGAGCAGCAGGAGCATGAGGAAGACCAGAATGAAATTTCTTCTGATGAGAAGAAGACAAATTCAAAGGGATGCATGCCTATTTCTTATTCCTTCTCGTCGTCGAGATGACATCCGACCTAAGGCTGGGGTACCCAAAGGATTAATGTCATTCCGACGAAAAAGAAAAATAACCGGCAGACACGCATTTATCGAAAAACTTCAAGCACTACAAGTTACACACTATTAGGTCACATAAAATATTACATGGTCCACAAGTTCGTGTTTCGTTAGACTCTTAACATTATACAGAGTGATATAACTTCAAGCACTGCAGATTACACATAGATATGGTTCATTAAACATTACACAGTGTAAAAATTCGTGTTCCGGAAAGTCTGAGTGACAGCCAGGCAGTTGTACTCTAATATGATGAGATGAACAAAGTCATACATTCAGTTATAATACAATGCATATAACTTCGGAACAATCCTGAAGAAGATAAACAACTTCAAACGACTTTTAACTGATTTTGGACAGTTTCTTGAAAATGGAATTTCCATGTAAAAGAGACACAAGTCTCTCTCCAATGGAAGACCGAGAGAAGTAAAACTAAACTGAACTACAGTAGTGTCATATTATCTAGATATATAGAGCATGTAATTTTTATAACTAGCAATTTAGTAAATTTCTCGCATTTCCAATACTGTGTTTCAAATAGTCTGTGAATCGTTTTTTACGATGCTTCGCGATTTTGAAGTCTGCACGGGAAATGATTAAAATTACTCCCAGTAGGTTTCGTCAAACAAAAGCCAGCTCAGAATGCATTGTTTTTCTTATCGAAGGCGGAACCAAATACTCGTTATTTACTTAAAATAATGCTTAAAATAATAATGTATTTAGTTCGAATATTAATGACATGACCGAAAATACCAATGAACACAGATCTGCATATTCTTAAATTCATTATAAATTTGATCCTACAAAGTGTTTATAATGTCATACTTTAATTTGTATATCATTATCAAAGCGTACATAATATATTTTACTTTCAAGTTACTACATATGTATTCTAAAATTTTCTAAAATTTAAAAGTTAAAAATCTACATAAAATTCTTACTTTTTGGCCTTTCATTCCATCTGGTCCAGGAGGTCCGATAGATGAGGTTCCATTTTCTTTAAACTCATCACATTGTCCCGGCAATCCAGCTGGTCCTGGAAAGCCTTTGGGTCCCTTTCATGTATACATTTTAACAATTAGAAAAGTTCAGATAATTTTAATAAACTATTAAGTTCATATTTTAATTTTTGAATTCTAATTTTCTAAAAGAATGATGCTATAACTTAATTTCTCCATACATTACTACGTAACTAAGTTTACAGTACGAGTTATTACTATACAGTGTATAAAACAATGTAGTGTATAACATGTTACTATGTAATAAATGACAAAACGAAACTACGTATTTTCACTGTAGATACATTTACATCTTCATAAGCAGAAATAGTTTTTTTTTTTTTCAAAAAAATAAAGTAGTAATTGAGCATTTTGTAATTAAAATTAAATTATTATTTTCTAAAAAATGTAGGGTGTTTAAAAAAAAAGGGCAGAAATACTTGATTGCACAACTATTACTTCTCAGAATACGATAATACACTATTCTCAGAATACGATAATATACCTGATAAGGAAAAGATAGACGTTTGCTGTGTCGGATTTTCTACATATGCATTTTCTCCAAATCGGCTTACATCAAAGTGAGAGTATTTTCATACAAAATCCCATTTGTGTCTTTGATTACGAGACTTTAATAACAATTAAATACAAAAAGTTATATTTATTCAATTATTTAAACGTACAATTTAAAGGATTTTAAATATTCCAGAGCTACAGATTATAGTACGTTAAGTATATGTCTAAAAGGGCTATCTGAATTAAGTTTGTATTAAAATGTAACTGAGGTAAATAACTGCTGGCCATTAAAATTGCAACACCAGGAAGGAATAATCTGACGAGCGTCAAAATCACATGAAAGGAAGAAGAGGTTGGGATATGCAAATGATTATTGTTTCAGCGTATTTAGACGATGCAGGAGGGAGAAACGCACTGCATAAAAGAAAAGTTGTGTAGTGGATTTTTCATTCGGAATGTGCATTGCAAGACTATCGTGCTATGCCTCGAATAATAAGAAGAAATGCAGCAAGTGTCGGAATTCGATAGAGGCAGGGTCGTTTCCTATCGAGAGTGTGGATTATCGTTCCGTGGTGTCGCCCGTCGTACTAATCGACATAAAACTACTGCCATGCGTATATGGAATTAGTGAGTTGCTGAGGGTCATACTGAACGGCATGCAGAATCTCAACACCCTCCCATGAATAACGCCCAAGAGGACAGATACATTGCGAGGTCAGCCCTGCAAAAGCGTACAATCACATCACGGACCATTAGTCAGGAAATGAGAATGTTTGCAGCACGCCTAGTATCCGCTCATACGGTGCGGCGACGTTTGCAGCAGCGTGGACTATTAGCACGGCGAACATTGCTTCGGCTTTCCTTGACAATGCAGCATAGAGAGAGACGCCGCCTCTGGTGCGCTGAACTACAAAGCTGGGTACAGGAGTAGCACAGCTTCATCTTTTCAGACGCGTCCCAGTTCTGCGTGCAGTACTCTGATGGCCGTATATGTATCTGGAGGCTTCGAAGAGATCGCACGTCGGCTGCTTGCATTCGATGTCGGCATACGGGCCCTGCACCTGATGTGATGGTTTGGGCAGCTATTGGGTATACGTATATCTCTGGATCGACGGTAATTTGAATGCAAATCGGTACATTTCTGACATCTTACATCCGGTGGTTGTGCCCTATCTTCGAGCCCTGCCAAACGCCATCTTCCAACAAGATAATGGAAGACCACGTGTTGCACGTCGTGTTCTGACATTCCTCGATACACAGGGTATTCAAGTGCTGCCCTAGCCTGAACGGTCTCCAGATCTGTCACCCATTGAAAACGTCTGGTCATGGGTTGCTGAGAGACCCCTCTCCAGCTAATACCGTTGAAGAAGTGTGACACAGACTTGAAGCAGCATGGAATGAGTTGCCCGTTTCTGTCATCCAAGTCCAGTTCGACTCCATGTTTAATCGGGTAAGGGCTGTTTTAGTCGTCAGGAGTGGCAACTGTTTCTCCTAATTTCGCCCCCCTGTAAAACTCCAAACTGCTTACAAATTTAATCATTTTGTCTTCATGCCATACTGTTTACGTACAATAAATATCTGTTTTGTATTTGATTTCCTACATGATGCTGCAATTTTAGTGGCCAGCAGTGTATTTTATGCATTATATTATGAATATAACATCCAGATGTAAGTACCAATATTGAAATTATGCAATGTAAAAAAGACACTAATCATAATCTGCTAACGTTGAATGAGATGTAATAAAAAAGCAAAATAACAAGGAAAAAATAATAATGTACATTAAAAATAACGTGCCATTAAAGAATGAAATAGGATTTTCCTAATACTTACGTCTTCTCCTTTTGAACCTTGAAATCCAACTCCCATGTTGCCTTTCGGTCCCTCAAATCCTCTATCTCCTTTTGCGCCCTACGTCATAAAAATTTATAATTCAAATATACACGTCACACAAACAGAAAATAAGAAATCTAGCGTGTTTGTTGGACTAAGAACCATCAATGAATTTTCCAAAAAATTCGAATTTAGTTTTAATCTCAAAATCCGAAAAACATAGATGTTTTTGACCGAAATAAAAAAGATTAAAAAGAAAATGCCATAGCTTTAATTCTAAAATATAAATTAAAGAATCCTTTATTAAGCTTAGCCTTAAATCCGAGGTAAGTCATTATATATTAATTGTTTTGTAGATCATATTACCTTATACATTAGTCTCCAACAGATTGCGCAGTACACTGCTTTTGAATTGCACCATTTAAAAGCTAGCTAATATTGATATCATTAAAAAGTTTTGTTTATCATATAATTTATTATTCAGCATATTAATTCTTTGGAGCTTAAACAGTTTAAAACTTTCAAGAGACCAAAATACAGTGGTGAAAATATACGATACAAAAAATTCAATTATGTGCTTACTTTCCATTCCGTAAATAACCATTCTCCACTTAAAGAATTTTAAATATTTCATTATGTACTTAAATTACGCGTAAAAATAAGGGCGCCTTGAAGAAGTTATACTTTTTAAGTACATAGCAGTCATTCAATGGATAATTATTTGAAACTTTATTCAAGATTATTAGATTATTATTTACCTCAAGATTATTTATTTACTTTATTTTCAACACAAATTTATATAAGTTGAATATTTTTTAATAACTAGGTTTTGAAATTTCTGTGGGATTTAATCCCGTGAACCCTTTATTTCTAATAACCTTTATTTCGTGAAACCTTTATTAAGAAATACTTAACTTGCGAGAAGAACAATGTGATGAATTTTCGCTAATTAATCAGTATGAATATTACTAAATTTAGCCTTAGGTTTGCACAGAAACTATCGTTACAGCTACATTTTCAACCAAATTTATTTTTTTAAATCAATCGCTAGCTACATCTTATCATTATCATTATTCTTAACCACGAAATAGCCTTTACAGACGTTACTTTATCAATTTCCTTCATATCAATATTTATATTTCTGGTGTTAATCTTGTTTTAAATATTCATTCATTTAGCGAGCTAGTTTTTGAAATCAATCGCTAGCTACATCTTATAACATTATAATTATTTTTAACCATCCTTGCTCCACAAAGTCTAATAGCACTCTTTTTCTACTGAACTCGCAGCTTAAGAACTTTTTTCTCTTATCTCTCAACATCTTCCATAAAGTTATTCTCGGTATACTCCATAGCTACTACCTGTTTTGATGAATATCAATGCGACTGTAGATGTTGCGATAGTTTAATGCTTTTATCTTATGCATGTCATGTATTTAATTTCTTCGATTACAAATGTTCAATTGATTTTAAAAACAGTGAGTGGCTAAAGAAATCTGTAAAATTTTATTAAAATGTTTTGTCTGGAATCAATTTTATAAGCTTCTTTGGTTTCTTTTAACTTCCCAAGCAAAAGGCATGCTACTGTTTAAGAATATAAATTTAAAAACTGAATAATTTTGAAAGAAATATGACTAAAAATTATTTAATTTACAAATAAAAACTATTATCATTTGAGAAAAATATTTCAGTTTCAAGACAAAATAATCATCACAAAACAGACCAAGGCTCTTATTAATTTAATCTTCCTCTCTACGAAATTTTTACCCTCGAAACTTGCATGTCGATATATATATCAAAATATATAAATTCGCGACGTTTATATGAATATTAAAAGCATGAATCATCAACAGTTTTTGTCTAATATGAGATTTAATTACTAGTAGTCCTGGTGGTCCAGGATCTCCTTTCGGTCCCGGTCTTCCATCTTGTCCTGGAGGGCCCTAAAATAATTCGAAAAATTACTGCATTTAATAAAAAGTGTACAAAAACACATTCAAACAAATATTTGTAAACTATTTAAAATAAAACAACTCTCTAAAAGATGCTATCGCTCCAAACTATTTTATAGAACTATTAATGAAGTGCTTGTTCTTACACAGCACGGATGGCCAAACTTCATCTCAGTAAGAGCTGTATGTTAAAAGTTCAGGAAAGTTCGACAGCCACAACCAAGTTTTTCTAAAACCTTAAGTCCATATTTAGATCACTTTAAAAACAGGGAAATAGGTTTCAAATAAAAGTAAACGTCTGATAATTTTGTAAAAAGAAATAAAATAAATTATTACTTCTTTTGCACACTGAGTTTACTATACCGAGTTACTAGTTTACCATAACTAATATATACTATATTTTACTTGCTTGAGAGCCACGCTATGACTATCCCCGTTATTATATTATTTACTAATTTGTTTAATGATAGTTAGCATCATTTACCTTTATTTGAACGGTGTTCAGATTATAAAAATTTCTAAATTTATTAAAAGTGAGAAAAAAAATTCCAGGCCCAAATCCATCATTATAGTAAGAAGGAAAACACTTCATGATCAAATGAGTATTTGGGAGTGTAAGTTAATACTGATATTATAACAGAAATTTAGAATGATTGTGACCCCTTATATGAAGTTTATAATATTGATGATGAAAAGAATTTAGAGTGCGATGATGTAGAAAAACAGATAATGATACTGAATGCCTGATAATGATCTTTATCTAGCTATAATTTCTTGAATAGTGAAAACAAAGTGGTATAAGGACAGAGACAGGTGTATCTGGTTTTTGGACCAATAGTTTCACATGTAGGTGTCACGTGTTGCAGAATTCAAACGGCGATAGATTAAGCATAGAATGACACTGCTCCTCGTGGAGGTATGGATACCTCGATGCTTGAGCTCGAAGTGCACTTTTAGCTTAATCGTTTGAAGCTTCATGTTGCCATCCTAAAGACCAAAATCAATCTCAGTCCAGGACAGCAGCAATAAACATTACTTTTGGTGGCACACGTTTCCATAAACAATTTTAAAAGCATTCTTCAACAACTATTATTTCCCACTTCCAAATAAAAAAGGCACTCATATAGAAACTATGTCACACGGCAAGTAACCCTATGCCATATGCGTAAGTGTTGGTTTGATGCAAGCTTAACATCCATAAAATGCTACCTTTATTTGCACCTAGTTATACTATGAATAAACTTTGGGGTATCACATTTACATGTTTCCTATGTTTTCTTGAAACAAATTCTATAAACGGAACTCCCGACTATTAAATTAATTTTATCCTGAACAAATTTGCCCTTATTATGATAAGAAATTTTCCTATAAATTTTCTACGCATCTTTCACTCATTGCACAAAGCACTTCAACATATATTAACTACTATGTGCTAACTGACTCTATATGTATATAACACTTTACGTATGTACGGTTTATGTGCGTTTTCCTCTAGACAGAAAACTAAAAATTGTCTAGGCAAGATTGTCTATGTAAATCTATTTATTATTTAACATTTTCTGTTTCCGACAGTATCGCCATAACGAGTCACAAATTGTTATATTAAAACATTTTTATATTTGCCCACTGGGTGCATTAAATTACGCAAGAAATCTTCCATATAAGACCAGTATCCAAGTCCAACCTGAAAACATTTTTTACGACAGAGCTCTGTTCTGTATTTCCACATTAAATCGTGGTAGCAAAATCCTGCTGAAAATCTCTCTCAAGATTACCTTGCAATAGCGCTAATAGCACGGCAGCCTGAATCGACTACGGAGCAGATCAGAAACAATCCTGAGAAAAGATTAGATGGTGCTATTGACGGTTACCATTCTTAATCTACTGATGTTAGATTAAGAATGGTAAAAATTTTGCATTTCTTAGTATCACTTTTAACTTTCAGTAACTTTTCAATAGTTATGATTGCATAAAACCGTCAGTTTGAGTTTTGCCGTTATGTTAGCACATGCACTAGAAATGCATAAGAATCATATGACAAGGGTTAATTTTGAAATGACAAATTTTAGAAAGATTTATTATAAAAACATTACCACTTTTAAAATGGAAGAAAGAAATAACTAAATTAAAAAGATTTTAACCCTTTCGCCGTTCTCTCCTGTCCGCGAAAATTCCCTCCCCCCCAGCGGCCGTCTGTTTTTCGTAGCATGTAATGTTGTTTTCTCTATACATCATAACTTTCCATACATGACTTCCGTAGTGGATGAATGTCAATGAATATTAAGTAAAATTATAAGGAAATAAAGCATAATGGAGAAATAATAATATCTCTGCTTATCTCTAACAGCAGGATAATTTGATAACATCTGATCCAGGCGGTCAATCCTCCCATTTTGTTGTTGTAATCTTTTACAATTATTGGTTTTTTTACAGTTCTTTTCCGTGTTCCAACATCAATCATCGAGTTATTATGGACTGTACTCATCAAACGTATATCCTTCTTGTCTTTCCAATTCACAACCTAATTTTTTCTCTTTTTCTGCTGAGTAGACGTTGAAGCCATCTCTCACTGTCTTGTATCTTATGTAAAATGGCGCGAATATTCATAAAACCCCGGGAAAATTCAATTAGAAATAGAACGTTTGATTCGTGCTACCCTCTAGGAGGTATTAGAACAAACAAAAATAAAAACTCAAACAAGTAAACATTTAGAAAGCATTTTAAACGTTTAAAAGTTTTAAAATGTAGAAGAACGCTGAGGCGCGTTACGGTCGCCCTGCTGAAGTTTCACGGAACTTGCTAGGACGCGTTACGGACGACGAAGAGATTAAGCATTATTACAAATTTAAATTAAAATTTTATCATATATATATAATAATTCCGGGAGCATGGAAGAGAATCAGTTTGCAGTCGTCGTGGCTGAAATTGAAGACTTACCAATGAAGACAAAAACATGAAGAATTTCTAGGCTTTATTTTCGAGCATATAAAATCATCAAGCGAGGAGCTATTAGCACGGAAGAAGTTAGCAGAAGAAGTGACATTATTATTATTTATTATTATACCAGAGTAAGTGCTGTTCTAGAGCCAAGCTATGATTGGTTAATATTAGTTTTGGTTACCCTTTGCAAGCAGCATTACGTAACGTAGAAAAATCTCGAATTTGGCACAACAGATGAATTTAGGAGGAGAGCACCAAAACTAGAATGTTAATTTTGAGGTCGCCAATTATTTTTTTAAGCCGTTATCGTAGTTTGTTATATGTTACATATCCCCCCTTCAAAAGAAAGGTCAGGAGAGCAGTCGTGGCAGAAAAGGATTTGCTAAGCAAGAGACAGTTTAGTATATGAGAGGAAAGGCATGAAGGAGCACCAAGGACACAGCCGTTAGATTTGCCTATGCCCCGGCATTATTCATGACCTTTCTCATACATAGATTACGTAGCTTAAACAACTAATTTACAATTATTGCAATAACAATATAATATCTAAATAAACTAACTAATAAGTTAAGACAAATATAATGTTAAAAGTCCTTTAGCCCTTTTTGAAAAAATGTCCAATGTCCTTTTGAATGTTGAAATTCAAAGTTCACTAAAGTAAATGTTCACATGTTTTTCATAAAGCAAATGTTCATTAAAAATATGTCAAATTTCTGTTGATGAATACATTTCCATTATAGTATATATTGAATTATGAACTTTCATATACTTTCAGATTCAGTAAAATATAATTTCTAGGATTCCAAAATCTATTAATTTTGTACAAGTAACATCCACCACTTGTATATATATATTTATATTACAGATCGAAGAAACGGATAATATATTCATGTCTTTGATTGAATCACAGTATACTTATACGTCTTTGATGAATATATTATCTACGTTGATTGCAATAACAAATATACTTACACGAAACCCAGGTCTTCCATCCCGTCCTGATTCTCCCTGAAAAAAAAAATTAGAGATTATTACTAAAACATTTCTGCAAGAAATGACAGTTTATTACAAACAAACTGTCCACACAACTAGTACCTAAAGGAATAAAAATGAAAAAGGAATTTCCAAACGCAAAATTTAAGATTAGAATACCATCTCCTCAAAAACGAGTTTATAATTATTTTTTTATTTTAAAAACTATAATCTATCTATATTAAAAAACTTTAATTTAAAATTATAATCGTTCAAATATTTTGCTTGTCTTCTTAATTTAAATAATATCTGCTGCCGATAACTCATAAAAATTAATCTTACCTTTGAATAAATTTAAAAATCAACCCCGAAAGAATTTCATTTAAAAGTTTCAGAGTTTATATCTGCGTTTTATTTTTAAGCATTAAATGATGTAGACGGGGAAGTATCAACAATTTAAAAAGATAGTTTTAGTTTTGTTGCGAAATACTATAAGTAACAAAATTTCACATCATTAATCGCATTTATGATATAAAATAGCACTCGCTGTAAAATTTCGCAACGAATATTGTTAAGAAGTCATAGTTGCCAACTTTGAATATGGAGACTCGGGAGGCATAGTGGGGAAAACCGAGAGTTTTTAAGATGTTTCAACGCTGCACGGCGAAACAATTCCAAAAGAACTCCAAATTAATTTCCATTCACGCTATAATGCGTGATTCTCATAATTGGATTTTATATAACATTATTTTAATGAAAAATTTATCAATATTTAATTGATTAGTCTAAATTGTATGTTCTTTGGATAATATCATTTTAAAATTTTCTTATTCGTTTACATTGCAAAAATGCAGAGTTGTGTAGGAAAGCTTTTATTTATAAAATGCCTTTAAATATGCTGAAAATAAAATTAATAATTAATGTGCACTACGAAAAAAATGGCACAGTTCTATATCACCCGTTCTACTGGGCCGATTGACGAAATTCAAGTAGCGTTTTTCATGTCTCGAAAGCGCGACTTGAGATAATTTTAGATTTATATATAGCATTGCTCTAATATAGGTATTTTGACACATAATCGGACCTTTTCCGAAATGAAATGCCAATTTTGTTTTCTATATATCGACTCTACGACTCACATTATGCCGAACTGCCAAATTTTGTAAAAATCGCACGAGTAGTTTAAAATATTAGCTCTCAAAATTTAACTCCTCAATGCTAATTGAATTTATATATTTATTAATATCTGTTTTTTTATTAAGCTTACTTGATTCCTTCTTCCATAATTCAAAATTTAAAAGTTCGCACATTTTTATTTTTTTTTAAATTTGTATTTTTAAATATTTTTTTACAAATTTTCCAAAAATATTCCTGTATTATAACCTATAAAATTTTTAATATCATCTTAAAGTAGATGTATTTTTAGGCACACCTGCAAAAAATTAGAGTTTTTTTTGTTCAAAATTTTTTAAAAGACACATGAATTTACATATTGGCGAGTTTTGAAATTTGGCATATATGTTATAAGCGCTAACAACGCCAAATGTGGTTTACGCACTTTGTTAAAATTATTTGAAAGTATGAACGATGACTTTTTTCCCGCTCATAAACAGTTGAAAAAAGTGAAAGGAAAATAGGTTGCTATAAAATAAGAAGTTCGATAAATTTCGCACCAAATTTTACAAAATTTAATATTTAGGCATAATTTAAGTCTTAGACTCGAAATATGGAAAACAATTGGCATGTCATTTCAGAAAAAGTCCAATTTTGTGTCAAAATACATATATTAGAACAATGCATATTTAATTCTAATAGATATCTTAAGTCGCGCTTCCGAGATATGAAAAACGCAATTTGAATTTCGTCAATCGGCCTAGTAAAACGGGATATATAGAACTTTTTTTTTCAGTGTATATAATATGGTGGGAATAAACGTAATCATGTGCCATATAGTGTTGTAAAACAAAATTAAACTCCAGCATTTACATTTGTTAAACACTGGTTGAATTTCTTTGGTTTCTTATTTTTAATTACCACAGATAATATTTTATAAATAATAGAAACAAGCAATACCTACCCGAGATGTTTGAGGTTTAGAAAAACTCATTTATGTACCTTCAATATTTCGCAAGAACCTAACTGAAAATAACCTTCCTCCATACACAATATTCACAGTGGCCCGTGGTACGAGAATTACTATTTGTTCCTCCAAGTTCCTCCACTTATTATATATTCGAATGTAACTTTAATGTGTCATAACATGTGCATGCATATTTATCCAAAAATTTAAATTTAAGATGTAAAAATATTAAGTCTAATACAAATTATCGCAAATGATAATTAATAAAAATTTCCTATAAATAACTTTTCCAAGAGATGTTCCTTAAATTGAATTATTAAAAAAATAAAAGCTAGATATGATGTTTCGTATTGCTTTCATTGGATAGTACCGCAAAATTTGGAGAACAGCATAGTATTTCAGTCGGGATACACACATCATCAATATATTCTTCGGCAAGTCCAAGTATATACTTTAATTTTATGATATTCACAGTTCAAAACAATAATTCGCATCGACAGATGATTAAATCTCATATGATGCACTTTTTAAAGTTTCATTTGACAGTTAAATTCCAGAAGTTTCCATCAGTTACGCAGAAATATCGCATAGTGATATTCAGAAGAATAAAATATCTAGCTTCATTTCTGTCCGACATCTCATTCTTCTCAAATTCATCTGAAATTAAATCCTGTCAAACTCTAATTCATTGCTGAATAGACTATTTGCTTTTAATCCGAAATTTATAGTTATACCATCTGATCTAATTTCGAATCATTCCTAGGCACCACGATGAGATTAGAAAAGAAAGCAAATGCGTATATTTAGGAAACATTCTTGAATAATGCGTAATATGTTTCATGAATTACTTGTATACTACTGCGATGAAACAGTATCAGGAATGATTCCATAAAATAGAATGTTTCAGTTTGTTGGTAAATACTTATTACTTTCCCTCCAACGTAATCCTATTTAATGGAAATGAGCCTATGCAAATGTCTCCCAATTCCAGCCCTCGAAACATGTTTTAAATTGATTTTCAGGAAACTCCTTCCGAATTCACAACGGATTTTCTTTTATTCCACTTAACAGACACTAAATCATTATCATGAAGCAGTACTTTTGCCCATGGAAATAAATAAAATGGTCTCAAAGTACCATATCACGTGACAACGAAGCGTCAGGAGTCATAGCTATTGAAACTTTGGTCAAAAAGTCACGAGCAAAAGCATTGTGAGTTGGTGCATTACTGTGGAGCAAAATCCATCAGTTGTTTTGCGGCAGTTAATGTAATTTACGACGTTGCTACAAAATATGCAAATAAAATTCTTCATTAATAGTTTGGTCTCGATAGAAATTCATAACGCAAACTATCATAATAGTCGAAGAAAACATCAAACATTACTTTGGCATAGTCTTTTTGAACTTCAGATCCTTTTAGGCGTTTTCTTTAGTTCGCCATTGATTTGAGTCTTGAACTGTTTCTACATCAGTATCGTAAATCCCTGTTTCATTACCGGTAATACTGTCCTTTAAAAGGAATTCGATATGAGAAAACACATCTCGTGAGCCATCTGAGCACGTTGTTGCTTTAACCGTTTGCGGCACAGTGTGTTCGGTCTGGACACACCTAAAAATTTCCTTCTGTACGCACAGCGAAATTGAATGAAAAAGGATTTATAGGTCACTATAGGTTACTCTGAACCTTCTTTATTTATAGCAGATGGCAGCTCAACACAAACCAGTCCATATATTTTAGCCATGTTTAGTTTTTTAAGTCCCTCATTTTTCAAAGAAATCTTCCAGATATTTTTTTAGGGCATAAAAGGAATTGCTTGAAAAGAAATTTCGATATTATTTTTTTGGCTGTATGCTAATCTTCTTATTATATATTAGTTGTAAATTTTTACCTTGAAATCTTGCCTAAAATAAAACGGCGAACCCCAGGTGTGCCCAGACCGGACTCACCGATCATCTAGGACAACTGTGACTCTGTATTCTTTGTTTTTCCGTATCTCATCGGTCAGTCAATTGACAAGCAATGCTCGTTTCGGCACTCTTTTCGAAGCTCTATTCAATCAGTGTGCACTTGGGTACACCCACAGAATTAAAACGATAAGTTCTATCTTCACAAAATTTTACTTGTGCACTCCTCTAGGCCTAATTAGACTGCCTACCTTCTTTTAATCAAAACTCCGACTTTAAAAGGTTAAAGGATTAAAAGGAAGAGGTTAAAAAAATTGAGCATTTCTGGAATAAGTCGTGAAGCGACAGCGACAATTCCAAATAATGCTTCAGAGTTGCATTACAGCATCCAAATGATATAAAAAAACTTGCTCATTAATATCCGAAATTGTAAATCGGCGATAAGATGTTTCTATCGCCGATTTCGATCGACGTGATACTGATTAGTGGAAATGGATGATTTATCAAAGAGCTTATTAGTTGTAGTGATGCTCATTAGCGGAAGTAGATGATTCATCTTTGAGGCATTCTCAGGCCTTATTAAATATACTACTGAAAAACGTGTTTTTTTTTTTTTTTTTTTTTTTTTTTTTTTTTTTTTTTTTAACTATTGTTCTCAAAGGAACCCTACAAATGTTTTTGTACGAGTCCGTTGCGAAAACAAAATTCAATGCATTTTTCTGCCCATTTACATTTTCCATTTAGAGAAATAACCGAAACAAAACATCATTAATCGCTAAAAACGATTTTATTGCTAAATGATAAATAAAAAATGAAAAACAGATTATTGCCTGATGTCAATGAAAATCGAAAAACTTCGAGAACGATTTCTTGCGCGTAAGAATTTTAAATTAAACCTTACCGGTACTTTTTGATCACAGTATTATGCATTGAATGAAAACTGAAAAAAAAAAAAAAAAAAAAAAAAAAAAAAAAAAAAAACACAATAAAGCTTCCCACTTTTCCTTTCCCTCAAATCCTTCATGAATGACCTTATGTCATTTCTTTGATTTGTCACTTCTAAAATGGTGAGAAATAAAACAACGAGACTATGAGATAAAACTGCTTGATAGTAATAGCATGTTGATAAATGTTTAGAGAAGTGAAAAAAAGTACGGGGGAGAAAAGCGAACAGCAGATTTTAATAATGCTTTCATTCTTAAAATTACTTAATTTCGTGTTATTTGCCTTAAATAGACTTCCTGCTGGGAAACTATTACAATCAAGAAGAATGAGTTACAATATAACGGATGTCTTAAATTAACTTGAGAAATATTTATAAATGTACAGATTGCAATGAATCGGAATGTATTATTCATTGCACGTTAAATATACGAAAGAATCCATTCAATTTCAGGCTATAAGTAAAATCTTCAGCGGAACTAGATTCTTTAGAAATAACAGATATAGGCCATTCATTCTTGGAGAAAAATAGAGTGCGTCGATCAGTTTCTATAAATCTTTAATACACATGCTTTTATGATTATCATACAAATATGATAGTTTTATCTGTATATCTTTATCTGCATAAAATTTATAGACGATGATTGATTCAAATCACTGTTTGTAGCAATAAACTTCATTTTCCTTTTTTGCGGTCGCTTTAAAAATAAGAACAAGCTCATGGCAGACAAAATCTGCATAAAGTCCCCTTTCTTTAAAATATATCAGATAAGGTTATCCATACACTTCTTTTCTTCTTCTTAAATTTTATGATTCTTGGTATTTGTCCTCTGCACAAAAATAAAATTCAAAGATAGCCAGCGCAAAAGGAATTTTATGTTAGGTCACGTTTCATATCGTGAATGTAATGCTTCAAGTCACTAATTTCAATAAAATTATTTATGGAAGATAATGGATCTAAATTAGTGTTTCTAGCAGTAAACATCCTTTTCCTTTATGTGTTCAGTTTAGAACTAAGAACAAGCGCGTAGCTAAGAAAATTTACATAAGACGTCCTGTTTGAAAGTTTAATCAGATAACATTATCAATTTATTCCCCCCCCCCTTTTTTAATTTTATGATTCTCGGAATTCACTTTCCCTTTGCACAAAAAGAAAATTTAAAGAGGCGAGTACAGAAGGAATTTCATTTGCATGTGAAAGTCTTACGCGATTTCCAACAGAACGCTTTTGTAAATTAACCTCTTTCAACACACCATTTATCTAAAATAAAGGCTATGTTGAAAAAAGGGTATGACTAATTCCTTATTAAAAAAATACGTGCGTTCACGCAATATTTGCTTTGTGAAAATTTTCACATACTTGAACATTTCCAGTGTAAGGATTTATTTTTTTTTTCAGCATTTCAAAGAAATAGGTGTAAAACATAAATTAACAAATCTGAGTAAGTTATTTTAAATGCAACAATGTTTAGACATGTAATGATTAATCCATCTGCTTTTTATCCTTATAATATTATTACGTATTTGGTATTTAAATAGCTAATGTTAGTAGAATTATAAATTAAATTGTTTTATTCCTCGAGCAATGCAGCGCGTGACGAATATTAGAAGAAAGCTAAGCCGAAAAATTAAAAATGCAGGAGCATGCGCATTTAATAAATAGGTATCTCGTAATTGTACACTTTTGCTTTTCGGGAAAATCGATAAAATACCAGAATATCCTCGTGCACATTTAAAAGGCTTATAAAAGTGGTGTCAGAAACCTCTCAATTCAATTTGCTTAGAAAACTGTTGTTATTTACTGTAGCAAATTCGCGGTGAAATCGGATTAGCTTTCTATGTTTTGAATAAGTTCTGTTGAACGATTTTGAGTAGTTTAAAAGATAACTACCCGTGAGATATTGCAATATTGTATGCATATCTTTGGAAATTTAAGCATTTTGTTTTATTTGTTGTGATAATAATAAATTTTATTCACTTTTCATCGGACTTGTGCATTTAATTTATAACGAACCCGTAAGTACGCAACAATATTTTATAAGTATTTTTCATAAGTTTACAATAAATCTTATACATTTCGTTTTTAACTTTCTACTTTAATTTACTTTATTAATAATGTTATCAAACAGTTCTTAGCGCAAGATTAAATGTAAAGTCGCCGATTTGTTTTCTAATAGTTAATTAAAGCACAACATAATTTAAATGATAGCCAATTAAGCCTAGATTATTACGCCTCTTGGTTGCAAAAATTAATGGGACCATGACATAAAACTAACAGATGCTTTCTGCAAATCATGTTTTAATCCAATAAATCAATTTGATTTGGATATGCTCATCTCTATTAATTAGCAGATAACAGCCACAAATTTATAATACGATATATACACGATACAAATTTATGTACATGACTTCCTCTCAAGCAAAAATTAGAGTAAGCGCATAGGTCAAAGTAAGCAACTGTAATACCTCCCTACAGTTGAAGATCAATCTCATAATTCTCGACTACAGTTAACTCATTCTATTTATATCTTTTGCTAACTTGACTTAGTATTGGGTAATTTATACCATCCCTTATACTATGAGATTTTATGCGTATAAAATATGAAGAGACAATAAAAATTAAGAACTAACTGGATAAAAATTTAAATATTACTACCTTCTGTCCTTTCACTCCTATTAAGCCAAATGACGGTTCACCTTTATCTCCTTTTAATCCAGGTATGCCAGGGTAACCTTTGGGTCCAGGTCCACCATCGACTCCAGGCCTACCTGGAACGCCCTATAATGTAATATTAAGCACATTCCAAAATTACACTTATTATAATTTTCTCACATCTAAAGTAAAGTCAGTGTAAATCAGTGTAAAATTATGCGAAACATAAATACTAATTTCATCGGATGCGTACATCATCACCTTTGCAACCATCCAGACCTGGTAGACCTCGAGGTCCTTGTACTCCTGGATGACCCTGAAAAACGAATTAATAGAAAACACAGTCAGTTCGGTAGATATATCATAACTTTAGTTTTAATACACATCCAAAGAAAAAAATCATATTTCGTCCACAAAATGTTTAGAAGAAAAGTATAGTATCTTATCGGGATCAGCTCAATAAGACGATCACATCTGAAAGTGGGCAGAACTTCTGTAAGCATAAGGGACATCAATACTGGATATCAAAGAGACATTTCAACAGGATTTCAAATTTGTCTGAAACTGTGAATAGTGATCTTAAAGGAGATATACTGTAGTTTCAAGAATAGGAATAAATATTTGATTAAACTTAAAGTTATTCCTAGAATGATCGAAAATTTGAATAGTATATAACATTTTTAAATTACATTTCATCATAACATTTCAATAAGAAATTGGAGCAAAAGGCTAAAAGATGCTGTTGGTAACATGTGAAAAAAATAACAATAACCGAATTATAATTACTAATTTTCAGCACCCAGTCAAAAATACCAGAGTCAGAAATTATTTTATTTGAGTAAGTGACCTTTCGTACATAATTACGTAAATAATTAAAGGTTCTATTAATATGAAACCTTTTCATATGCTTAAAATTAAAAAAGTGATATTATCATATAATGTTTTATTGAAAGCTGCATTTTAGATTTCAGATCTCTTGGTGTTTCTTGCTTTTCCGTTTCTAAGTTTGTCGTAGTCTGAGCGGAATGGAAATTCGGTTAGTTTTAATGGAGTTAATAGCATACGAAATGAAATCTATAACAGTTTTTAAGAGAAGAAATCATACATACATAACAAACATATATATCTCGTGAGTGCTATGTCATCGTAATTTATTGCAGCAATAATCTAAGAGTGTTAACGTTCATGCTATCATCTTGACAAAGCATTCAAGAACTGAAGTAACTGAAGTTCTAGGTAAAGAATAATATTCAGAAATATAGTCAAGGTGATGATTGTTATAATATTATCCTTATTCAGCTATTGTAATAGTCTATTAATTCAACCAAAAATGCAATATTAACCTGCTAGCCTTTTCAGCGTATGATTTACGAACTTCAAATTTATAGAAAAAGGTAAAATCAACGCACAGCTAGGAAATTGCATTATATAAGTTAAAGGAACATTACTGAAATTCATATCTTTGACTAACTTCTTTGAAGTACATCTATTAATATATGCATTTAAATACACTAGTTATCATAAATTAAGGAAAAATCACAAAAATCACGATTACTAAAAAAGTTACATGTTTAATGAAACTTACCCACAATATGCAACATATAGTGAGTTATCAAATAACATAAAAAGAAATTACCAGAAAAATATGGTAGTATAGAAATTAGCACATGTATAAAATGAACAAATCGAAGGTATCAGTTTGCTATAGGAAAAGTACCTTCAATATGGAATATAATCGCCTCTAGAAGTAATACAGCACATACAGCGATGTGTGATTTCTTCAATTATGCGGTCTATCAGTTCCATAGGAAGCCAGAGCTATTGCTCTTGAAAGCAGTTGCAAGCACGACAAGGGTTTGAGGGGCCGGATTGAGAGCAGCTAGACGTCTCCCTAAAGTATCCCAAATGTGCTCGATAAGATTCAAGACCGGGGGATCGAGCTGGCTATTCCATGCTCATAATTGTTTCCTGTTGAAGATAATCATCTACGGTGTGAGACCTGTGTGGTCTTGCGTTGTCGTCCTGTAACAGGAAAGCATCACCTATTCCCCGGCATATGTGCGCACATAAACATCAAGGATGTCATCTCTATAAATCTGAGCATTCACGGTTCCCCTTGGAAAGACATGAAGGTCTCTGCGTCCACGCAAAGAGATGCTACCCCAAACACAGACACTGTCTCTTCCGTATGCATCTCTTTCACTGTTGATAACGGGTTCTAGGTCCTCTCCATATCAAATAACGCCTACTATCGCTTTCTAAACTAAACCTGGACTCATCCGTAAAGAGAACCGCCCTCCATTGATCAGGCGTCCAGTGGACATGTTGTTGTGCCCACTGAAAACGTCCCTCCTATGGTGTGACGTGAGCGGCACACAAATGGCTGGTCGCCTCGCATACAGACCACCTTCGTGAAGCCCTCTACGCACAGTTGACGTTGACACGAACCTTCCGGTGGCTGCAGCAAGGCAGGATTTAAGAAGAATCGGATTAGCGGTTCTATTCTTGCGTGCACATAATGTCGAATATCGGTCATCGGCGCTCGTCGTAGCAGTTGGCCGACCTAGGCTGAACCTCTTAGATGCCGAATCTGTGGTTTGAAATTGCCTCCAAAGTCTATAAACCACAGAAGGACTCACATTTAGCCATCTGGCCACTTATGTTTGACTTTGTCCTGCCTCTAGTCTCCCAATGGCTCTCCATCGCAGTTCTGCAGGCAAATGATGCCTGAAGGTCATTGTTACGAATTGGCTATCTCAGATTTCTGATGTCACTGTCACAAGTGAAATATGTGGCTTGTTCTCAAACATGGACTTTTATGCTCCTCGCGGATGACGTATTCCGAAAGCAGTGCCACTAATTTGCATATCGGCAGTTTTACTCAGCTACTCTTACTTTTGGCAACATATTCAAATTTTACACGGTTTGGATTATTTTTAAAGGGAGCTACCGCTATTTTTGTGATTTTTCCCTTAATTTATGATAACCAGTGTATATTACATTCTCGTTTAAACCTTCCCCCTCAGGAATGGTAAATACTGCGTAATTTTCTCCTCTGGATTTTCAAGAGGTAAAAAGTTTTAAAAGGAGGCAAAACATAACAGTAAATACAGTATCTGTAACGTGAACTCTGACGTATTATTGTGTTTTTGAACTAATGTAAGAGGCAAACTATAATTGACTTTTTTTCAGGCTTATTAGTAAAGAAAATAAGCTTTTTTTAACTTTGTTCCCTTTTATATACAAATGAATTCCAAGACTGATTTATGTAAGTTTTATGCATAATTCATTGTTATGACTCAAAAAAAGCTACAAAAGAAATTTATGAAAATTTCTCTGAGACAAGCCCTTGTAACAAACAAATTGATATTTGGACTATTACTCAGAAGTACTTTGAAGTTTTAACTTATTTTAGAAATCCCTGTTGATATAATTTCCTATGCAGTATGACTGTAAAAATCCGAATTAATTCAAAAGTATAAGAAAATGCACATCAGATAGTAGATTTAATTTCGAGAGAAATTAAATTATTATATAGAATATCAAATGCGTTGTAATATATTATATCATTTCAATCTCATATTAAATAGAATAATCCGTACTTACTGGAATTCCATTGGCTCCTGGAAAACCAGGCATCCCCATTTTACCCTGGAACAAAGAATTTCTTTTCATCAGTACAAAAAAAATTATAGCTTCAGGTAAAAAAACAAATATATGATTTATCTTTAAACAAATTTAAATTTAATTTTTAACAAATACGTATAAAGGTAAAAAAGCAAATTTAAATCCTAAAAAAAGGAAAAAAGCCAAAATAATTTTTAAAAAAATGTGCAATCACACAAAAAAGGGTTAATACTCGAACCAATCTACAATATCATTTAAATTCAGAAGCATAAGCAAATCAAGTGCAAAATCAAGTGAAGATTTTAATCTTCTTCTTCTAATTTTCCATACTTTAGCCAGTATTTAGTTAAGTTTTGAAATACCAACTGAAATCAAGTTCATTAAACTTTTAATATTTTCTTTCATTAAATTTAAGTTTTAATTAACTTCCTAAAGTAATTTTTTAGAAATTTCTGGAATTTTTTAGAGGTTTTTTAAGGACTTATTTAAAAAAAAAATGGGGGAAATTTTACTTTAAAACTTTAATATTAAAACATTTCAGTTTTCTTAATTACTTTAATTTTTTGCAATTTTAACACAAAAAAATTTTTCACTTAACGGTTTTTACAATTTTTTTTTTTTTTTTTTTTTTTTTTACAATTTTTACACACACTTTTTCAACAGAACACACATTTCACATTACAAATAGTTTACATTTTATTCACAATACCACTTCACTTTATTTTCCTTCAAACAAACTTGCATCTCTTGATTGGCTCAATTCTTAACTTCCTAAAAATTGATAATTACTACCTTTTTAATTTTTAATTTAATTTAATTTAATTTTTAATATTAATGTTTACAAAAAATTTTTTTATTATAACAAAGATAGCAGCTTGACACTCAACTTTACCTACATAAGCGCCATCTATATAATTTGAACACACTTACTTCTCTTTTACAACACTTTTGCAGACCCCAACACTCATATAGTAGGTAAGTTAGAATTAAAACTTACTATTTACTTGCTTTAAGTATTTTTTCAAATTTTTTATGTGGTGTCTGGGTATTTTCTGGATATGAGGTTATATTTTTGAATACATATTTGTTTTTTAAAAATTGTAATTAGTTCTTTTTGTTTCTTATTGGTTTATATGGATTATGTCTAGTTCTTTTTTGGTTTCTTTTTATTGATATGCATATTCGTGTAGGGTTTCTGTAGACAAGGGTTTCTAAAATACATTTCTAGATTATTTTTTTATTATTTTTTTATAAAAAATTAATTTAAAAAAAAATCTAATTTAATTTTAAAAAAGTTTAGTTTAATTCTTGACTTTACTTGCTTGTTTCTCAAAAGACTTCATTAGTATTTTCCTTTTTGAACTTTAATTCTTAAATGTTAATTTCTAGGGGAACCACTTTATTGGAATTACTTTGGGTTTTGACTTTTACCCTTGCCTGCATGAGTGACGAAACACGAATTGAATGATTGGAGAGTTAGGTTTGGAGGCAACTTCCCCTTGATAAGTCTGTCTCCTGCCTACTCAACGGTCATTCACATATGCATTTTTTTAAAAAATGTTTAATTTAATTTTAGTTTGTTGGATTGGTGAATTTATTTTCATGGATTGATTTTGCACTTGATTTGCTTATGCTTCTGAATTTAAATGATATTGTAGATTGGTTCGAGTATTAAATCTTTTGTGTGTTTGCACATTTTTTTAAAAATTATTTTGGCTTTTTTCCTTTTTTTAGGATTTAAATTTGCTTTTTTACCTTTATACGTATTTGTTAAAAATTTAATTTAAATTTCTTTAAATTTAAATTTCATTCCTTGCAGCAATGGCGTAAAGAATATTTAATTAAATTTGTATTTAAATTAATTTTTTAAATTAAATTCAATTTATTCTTATGATTTATCTTTTATGTAATGGTAGGAAATGATAGAAAAGCGTATTATATAAGTAGTTACATATTTGATTTAAATTACTAAAATAAAGTAATGTTAAAAACAGAGAAACATTTATTACCCGATCGCCTTTAGCTCCTCTAGGGCCCGGAATTCCTAGGTCTCCCTTTTCGCCTTTTTCTCCTGGTAATCCTTCAGGGCCTGGAAACCCGATAGGTCCAACAACACCCTGTTCTCCTGGCCTTCCTGGTGCGCCCTAGTGTAAAACCAATTGAGTAAGAACTGAGAGCTTTACAAAAGACAGACTACTCAGACATGAAAAATGCTCCAAATAATTACGAATTATATATGCACATAAAAAACGGTAGCGAATTTCAAGATAAATACAAAAAAATGCTCGTAAATCATTTTATATTTTATTAACTGGTGCCCGTAATTCAGTTTAAATTTTAATTGAAGTCAATTTGAATTTTAAAAACTGCAGAATTTAACTGAATTTACTGGAATTTCGATAATGAATGCTTCAACTATTTTAAAAGTGATGTACGCCTTCCTTATCAAGAGCAAATATTGAAAAATATGCAAAATGCTGAAAAATAATAAAAAGTCACTGCGAAATATATTTATGTTCCAATTTCATTAATTCCTTACAGATCAATTTTGTAATGATTAAAATCCTATTCTTCATAAAATTTACACATTTTATGAATAATTGCTTGCATTAGGCATGATTAATAACAATATTTATTAACTTTCTACATTACTTCAACTTCCTTCTAAAATTGTTAACTCAGAATTTTTATTCATTTAACAACAAAAAAAAATGTGTTTATTTTGAACCCATTTGTAGTAGTGACGAGTTAACGAGTTGTTAGTTGAGTAGTTAACGAGTTAAATTCGTGATTTTGAATATTAATTTTGAACGAGTTAAATTCGTGATAATTATTTTCGGATTTACTGACCGTTCCGCATAATTTAAATACTACCCTGTCTTCCTTTTGATTCATGTCAGATATACTATTTTGCTCGGACCGGAAGGTTATGCAAAATAAAAGCATGCGAAGAAGTTAGTTAACTGCAACTCACGACTGGTGGAGCGATAAGTCACCGTGCTGTCAAAGAGAAATAGAGCCATATTTGCACAGAGGCAGTATTTATCGGAGCCGCAGTTGACCAGTGCACCTTTTATAGTGGTTAGTTGAGGAAACATGTTGAAAAGGATTTGATTTTTGATAATTGTAAATTTAAAGACAGATCGCTTAAATGTAAAACTACGAGGGCCATCCAGGAAGTAGATTACGTTTCCGTCTGTGTCCGCTAGGAGCGGGGCTAGCGCGGCCATCTTGGGGTCAGAGCGTTGCGCAGCTCAGTCTGCATCTAGCCGTGCTAGTGAGAGGTTCGTGCTGTGCTCCGTTCAGATACTGTGACGGTTTGAAATGTCTGCGTTAATTGAAAATCCCCGCGAGCTGCGAGGTGCGCTCTCAGTAATAAGGTTTCTGACTGCAAAAAACTGTAAAACCGATAGAAATCTATCGGCAGCTTCGTGAAGTGTATGGGACAACATTATCACTGAAGGTGGAGTGCGTCGTCAGTGGGTCATAAGATTTCAAAATGGGCCGAACCAATGTTCACGACGAAGATCGAAGTGGGAGACCCAGCATAGTGACCGCCGAACTTCTCGAAAAAAGTCGATGCTAAAGTCCGTGAAAATCGAAATTTCACAATAACGGAACTTTCTTTGAGTTTTCCACAAATTTCGCGAAGTTTGTTGCACGAAATCATCAGCGAAAAAAAGCTTGGTTACCACAAGTTTTGTGCAAGATGGATTCCAAAAATCTTGACAGAGGACCACAAAAATCAGCGAATGGCTGCAGCGTTGAACTTTTTGGACGCTTACCATAAGGATGGTGACTCTTTACTCGATCGCATCGTTACTGGTGACGAAACATGGGTGAAACATGTGAACTGTGAAACGAAATTGCAATCAATGCAGTGGGGGCACACAAGTTCTCCCCAAAAACCCAAGAAATGCATGCAAACAATGTCGGCAAGGAAGATGATGGCGACTGTTTTTTGGGACAGAAAAGGTGTGAAAAGGTGTAATTTGGTGGACTTCCTGGAAAGAGGCACTACAATAAACTCTCAAAGGTATTGCCAAACTCTCCAAAAACTCAGAAGAAGAGCAATTCAAAACAAGCGCAGAGGAATGTTGAGCTCTAAGATCTTGTGTGATGATTCACGACAACGCCCGGCCCCACACGGCAAATGTTACTCGTAAAGTTCTTGAATCTTTTAAGTGGGAGTTGTTTCCTCATCCGCCGTACAGTCCCGACCTGGCACCGAGCGACTTCCACCTATTCCCAGCAATGAAAGAAGTGGCTGGCTATGCAGCGTTTTGATGACGACGCACAGCTGCAAGAAGAGGTAACGAAGTGGTTGAAGGCGCAGGCGGCCGAATTTTTCGACGAAGGAATTTCCAAGCTCGTACATCGCTACGATAAATGCCTTAATTTGTATGGTGACTATGTAGAAAAGTAGTATTTGAGTGTGGCTTTCATCTGTATATAATAAAATTTGTTTCCTATACTTTGTTTATTTTTTTATTCCAAAACGTAATCTACTTTCTGGATAGCCCTCGTATTAGTGTTGAAAAGAAGTCCAGCTTTTAATTGCTTTATTTGTAATCCACGAGGATGGACGAATAAAGTTTACGGAATTTTAAATTTGCTAATTTTTTAGTTGACTGTGTTCAACGCGATAACTCGCCGACAATGTATTCATGAATAAAATTGAATGAAATACTGCCATGTGGACACATTTTCAACAGAAGTTAAGTAGCAGAGCTACAAACTCAAAAAACAGCATCAATGTTTTTCGAAATAAAAAATAGTTGTTAGTGCTTTTTTGTATATTATTTTAATTTAAGATATAAAGATTATTACATCCTACTTTAGTGCAATCTGTAGTGAAAGTATACGTAAGTGCTGAAAGTTATTTTATTCATACTGCTAGCATATCGGCATATTTTGTTCTCTTGCACTGTCAGTGTAATATATTATTTCACTATTGACAGCAGTGATCTCAGAATAACAACGATAAAAGTTTAAAATGTGGTATTACTACGCTTTCATAGTTGTAAAAGTAGATATAATAAGCAGCAAAATATAAGCTAATATGTATAGTACAGTATAAGATAAGATAGTATAAGACAATATAATATAAGATATAATAAGCATTCTTTAGTGTATCTAGATTCTATTTAATTTTGACTTACCCTATCACCTCGTGATCCCACACATTTACAGTCCTCGCCCGTACATCCTGCGCAGACAACAGGACTTCCAACTTCAAATCGCCTCGCATCTTGCTAAACAGAAAAAAGATAAAACAGATAAATATAAAATTATAACAATCAGCTGAAGATCAATATAAAATTATAACAGGAGTCAAAATTATAAGAGTCACATAGTTCAACTACAGTTCTTTTACTTTTTTGCTCTTTGTTTACATACATCTATATTAACATATCTGCTAACAGCTGACCATACTTTATGTAACAGTTTGGACTTCTGTCATTATTCACGGAAAATTTAAAACACAATAACGCCTCACATAACTAACATCCCGCAAACCGAACACGAACATAAACCGGAAATATTTCGCATACTGAAAACGGTCTCCCATTTCGAATCGACCGCGAATTTCGGTGTATAATCAACGCGAAGAGAAAATTTGTTTTACCTTTGCTTTTTAAAAGCCCGTAAATGAAAAAAAAAAAAATCATTTTTTTAATCATTTAACAAAAACAATGATCATAGTAAAGGGCAAATAAGCATATTTCTCAGTATTACACTACCGTAAAGAACTGCAAGCCTGTCTTGACCAAGAACATGATAAAGCCTAGACGTAAACAGGAAGAAAGTACTAAAGGTCAACAATAACTGTAACTATTAAGGACCTTCTGAAGAATAGGAAATTAGACTCATATGTGTTAAAGAGTGAATTCATTTTATTATAAAGAGGCCTAGGTTGCAGTCAGACAATGGCAAACAGAATAATAATGTACCAGACAGACAGTGATCAGTTTTAGAGAACTTATAAATCACTTTAGACAACTTCTTGAAATCTGGACCACCTATAAAGACTGAAGAAGACAAATGACAGTTGAGGCTCCAACCTCCAGTTAAAGGTTTCGCAAACTCTGGATTTAACTGAACGGTTCTGGACCAGGCAAAAGAACTGATTAAAGCTTTTCCCATAATAAAAGCTTTAAAAACAAGGGAACCCGCATAACGAACAAGTCTCATTACGAAAACCATTGCAGAACGGATTACTTTTCTTTATCCGTTTTGCACTACTTATGATAAAATGACAGGCCACCTGCACCTAAGAAAAATACTTCCAAAAGTTATACTATTAATCATTTACAGTGATTAAAATTTTATTTACGAATTTATTGTTTTTGGAAATCAGTAGAGAATGAATATCCTAAATGAACAAGAAATTTATTCGGAATGCGTTATTCATATCGACAAGAAAACTAGTGCTTAGTTCAATTTACCTTTATTTTTAAAGTAGTTTTCTTTTTATCAATTTCGCACGTAAAAAGGGCAGTACTAAGTAAAGTTGCTCATTTACATAAACATATAACCGATATTAAGCTATTATACTGCTATATGGTATGTAAATATTTATATTTGTTTATAATTTATTTATCATGCACTTGTGTATTGTTGTGAATTTGTTTTTTATTTACTTATTCATTTAATGAATGCATTTAGAACAGAAATGTTTTAACTTTGAATATGTGAGCCACTTACTGTTTTACATGTTTTAATTTCAGGTACTCTGCAGATCTTTTGATTTTGAGTCCAGTGACACTAGAACCGTAAAGATAAGTCACGTAGAACCGAAAATAAGAGCAGAAAACCTGCAACTAAATTTTGGTGACAATTTGTATCGCGAAGTTAGGAACATTGCATTATTTCTGGCTAACTTGGCAATTTTTTAAAAGCTTCTGGAAATGAAAGCCCAATTTTGAAACACTGTGTTTCTAAAAGCATCCAAAAACGTTTCCCAGCCAAAATTGTCAATTTATAAATCGAAGGCTGTAAGGAGCTATGAGTCAATTAGATCGATACTTTTCATGTATTCCATACTGCTGATATTTCTACTCTGTGATAATTAACTTAAACTTAGCTCTGCAGCGAATCTAATGATTTACGATATTTCTTTCTTGAAGGAGAATTTTTGTCTTACCTGTTTTTTCTACTTTGGAGTGTTTATAGCTGTTTACTATTTTGCCTGCATGAACACTCAAGTCTTCCTGTTCATCCGATGTAGTTATTTAAAGACATTTCTATAAACCCGTTATATGCAATAGCACGAAGTCGTGTAAATTCATTATTAGTTGCTGTTCAGCATCCTAAAGATCTTGCATTCGCAAAAAATATCTTTTTGCTGCTAATAAATACGTTGATAACTATACGTTTTCTTCATCAACTCAAACAAGTTCTCTCAATTTAAGATAAAATTCTTATCCTTTATTTATTTGGTATATCTCGGAAATTCGTGATTCAAAATTCAACACTTTACAATATGCAACACCTGCAATATATACAATGCGTTTAAAAATATTGCACGATTAAATATTTCGGAGTAGCTGATTGCTAACCTATGGTCAGAAAATAATTATAAAATTAGATTTGTGAGAGTACATTACTTTTAACTTAATTATAGTTTTGGTCACGTCAATTTTAATAAAATGTACTAAATTTATGTTCTTACTCATTCCTTTTATAGAGAAAATTTCAACAACTAAGTCATTCCTTATTCCACTGCATATGCATTTACTGAAGAAAAAGGTTTCTACACTATGGAAAACTGGTACGAAAAAATAATTATCCAAACTATACGACTCAAATCCACTTTTAATGGAAAAAAGGAAATGAGATGAGGACATATGAAGATAGAGTTAAGGAAAATAAAATACTATTTCCTGTTTTAACATTTATGCAAATAGGAAATTGAGATCCATGCTTTTGCGTTCATATTTCGTAGCCTAAAAGATCTTTCTCAGAAACCTTTTCCCGAAGCTTTTTTTGTGCAACTTTCGTTACCATTATTTGTATATCAGGTCTCAAAATTGTAATTAATTCCATCTAAGGTAACTGAAAACTCATTAGGACGGTTTTTAGTTTGTTTGGTTGTTTGATTAATTCGACTACAAAAACATTTCCCACACTGCCATGATGAGGCTCGATGGAAATTTAAATTTCCCAAAAAAGACGTCTTACGACCAGAAGTGTCACAGTCTGAAAGTGTACCTTATTTGGTTTATTTTTTATGCTGGAAGTACGGACCTGCGACTCGACTAATCGCAACACCTATAATCGTGCAGTTCTTTCGAAACACACACACACATATGCTCAACTTCTGATTATCAGAGATAATTAAGCCCCGAGTATGCACGAAGAATTGGGAAACATGGATAATCAGAAAAAGAGCCCATGAATGTAAAAATAAGAATTCAAAATGTTTTAAATAAAGCATGTGTGTGAATGAAAAATCATGAAATTCGGATAATAAAAAATAGTCTGAAGTGCTGTAAAAACAAAATATTCAAGTATTTTAAACAACGTTTAATCACGATAAATGTAAATAATAATAATTTAAATTAGTAATAAATAGTTATTGAAATAAATTGAAACAGATGGAATTCCATCCTCATACGCATGAAGCAACGTGCACAATGCTGCACAATTACCCACCTATCAGAAGAGTCCTGCAATAGAAGTAGACACCTGCAACAGCAGTCTACCACATCCAATATGAAGTTTCAGTACTACAACAGATAGCTCATGGCAAGATATTGGAAAGCATCTTCCAGGCAGAAGCATACACATTAGAAACGGCAATAACTCATTCAATAAAACAATCGACACTACAATGCCAGTTTCTGCTGCGACAACCTCTCAGTGCTACACGCCATACTAAACCCAGTCCACAGTTCTCATATCATCAGAAATATTCAAAGAGACCTACGTCGTTTCAGACACATTAATTTCCCCCTCCACTTACGCACATGTCAGAAACCGCAGAAATGAGCAAGTAGATGCACTGGCAACGGAGGCAGCTCGCAACATCGAGGGTAATTCACAGCATCTTCCTATACCGTACCATCACCTCAAACGGGTGGTTAACAATTTGACTCAAGTAAAATTTCAAGATGAATAGGACAATCATGAATCAGATGCCCTTGAGCCTATCTATTCTTTCTCAAAATCAGCAAGAAAAAATGTATTTCCACTGCTCAGCTCAGTCTCTTTTCATAAACTTAGTGGTACCGAACAATGCGTTTGCGGAAGTAAGAGAACTCCTAAATATTAAATTATGAACTGTCCACTGACATCCAGCCACCAACTCAGACTTCCGGAAAATATAAATGATAGAAATCCATACCATCGCTATATCATCAGTTTAGTGTTACATAATTCCTTTTTTACTCAGTTGCACAGTATACCCCCATAGCAATATGTATTTCTTGTACATCACATTCACTATTATTCTTTTGCATTCTTTGTCAAAGCAAAGCACTTCGAATACCAGTGATATATCCGACCTTTCAGGGTTTGTCATAGCTCTAGTATTATAGTCGTGTGCAAATTTCATGAAATTTGTGAACGGTATAACCGCCAGTACCCAACTCCTTAGTCAATTTATGAACTGCTTTCCCTTTTTCTATCTTAGCAGTTGTATTCAATTTTGTTTAACTGTTCCAATAATTTTAATTGTTTTGGCTGGCTATTTAGGCCCAATCATTATTGAAAAAATGATGAAACAGAAACTATCAAAAAATAATGAAAACTAAAGTTAAAAAAATATTCGCAATAGAAAATCGTCCAACTTGCTATATAGCTACTCCTATCCTCACCTGTTGCAAAAAAAAACTCAGAAATAACTCATTTCATTTCCAGTTAATTAGTATAAATATATTCTTCTACTGAATTCATGGCTTATTTTGAATATTTTTATGACTTCTATAATCGAAAAATAATTTTTAACACAGTTGTGGAAATTGAAAAATTGATTATATCTATGGAAGATTCATAAAAGGGCGAGCAGAAAAATCACAGAGTGAAATATTGTTTACATTTTGGCATTTTCATTCTTTTTCCTCTCTCTCTCCCCTGCCTCCTTTGTTTATTTTTCGCGGTGCAACATATTAAAAGGCAACTTTACTTCCGGAAAATTCAATACTTTTCCTATTAAAACGGGAGAATCGGCTGCCATCCCCATAAGCTCAAATACAAATTCTAGGGAAGGCGTGGATATTTGTAAATGAGTAGGCATGGCAGCTTATTTAAA